GCGCAACTAAGTAATCAGAATAGAGAATACGACTTCATTAGTCGGGAGTTTTACAAGATTAAGAGAATAAATTCATGCATTTACGTGCAGACAGGAAGTACAACAAAATGCGCAAAAGCATAATTTGTGTTCCATGATTCCCAACTCAGCTAAAGCAGAGATCTAGGCTGCAGTGCGACTAAATCCAAGTAACAAAGCTTTCGTGTCCTAACCATCTACCGTCGGTATTAAGTGAAGGCAGGATCTGGAACGTAACAGACCAGTCATCCTGATAGCGACCCAAACAAGAAATGAGGAATCATTAACGCCTCCGGTCAAGTTGGTAGAGAGATCATTCAGTAGGGACGCCGGAAGGGCTCAAATTATAGAATTAGAGAACCAAGACACCGTTCATGACAGCTAATGCGATGTGACCCGAAAGATACATAGTTCTAAATTGAATTAAACTCGTGCGTTGGTACGGATCGCAAAGCCGCTTCGGCCTTAAATCAACGTACAACACATGGTGGGGTGACTTGGAAATGTAAAAAAACGACCTGAAGCTAAGTTAGCCTTAAATTCTTTGACAAATTAACCTAGAAACACTTCAATACGCGCACACTTGAAGATTTAAGGTTGCTTAGATTTCAAAATATCTTCAGTCGAACGGGTTATGCCTTCATCGTAGCGCATTAACAAATCAATTGACTAAATGCATAGGTGTAATCAAAATTCTCTAGTTAGTGAGTTGGGTCACTCTTAACAGCGGTACTCGCGAATTTGTAACTCGTTCATAGCCAAAACCCTGTCTCCAATGACACTGAGTCAAAAGATTATACGAGGAATAGGAACACTTCAAATAAATGGTTGTGGACAAACTCGTAGTGAGAGAGAATCAAGGCGTAACCATTCCGATTGAATATCTTTAAACAACACGGTTAATTACCAGATTTTTTTCATTTATAGGAAGAGGTTTCGTAAACTTCCCAACATTATGAAACCGGAGGTGTACAAGATCAGTTTCCAATATTAGTGGCGAATAATGACTAGGTGCAAAAGGCTTATGAAATAACCCTCGAAATAAATGAGGAAATGTTTTGACACAAAATATGATCTGCGCAGTTGATGCTTAGAAAACAAGAGATTGAGAAGACAAGTATCCTTTTTAAGACCATTTACGAAAAACATATTTCATAAATTTCAAATAGATACAACTCTTTACAATGCGCATCACACTAAAACAATTATTATGAATTAAATAAAGACTCCAGAAGGGTAACATTTAAATATACCGAATGTCTTCAATTTGTGTCCATTAGAATACTTTAATGTAGGGCATCATGTAACAACAACTTCCAATAAGAAATGCCTAAGCCCGGTGAAAACAATTAAGCGCATTCAGGAGATCACCAAGGAGCCTAGCATGTGAGGTAACTATAAAGTGAAACGGATCTAAAAAAAACTAGGCTCAGATTTAACTTCCCTGAAAGTTGGAAGTTCTTGAAATTCCTTACCACACAATCCGGCTTATTGAATTAGCATCATCGAAATGTCACAGTCAAATTGAAAAAAAAACAGGTATAGTTAATGGTCAAAACGAAGTATTCAATGGTGCCTAAGCTAATAGAAGAACTGCACAGGGTATTGTCGATCGGTTAGATATCCCGCACTTACTTGTAGTACTGTAACGCTGACGACCTGACCGGTTTGATTGTTGAGAGGCCTGATTATATCCTTCTCTATCTGAATCAAAAAAATCATCCAGCTAACTGAGGTTCTAATAGGCACCCTTACCAATAGCGGCAACTAAAATCCAAGAGCAGCTTACATGACTGATATGTGTTTGAAGTGTCCCCACCGGGTTTCTGTAGTGCCAAAGGTCGAATGTCATCCAAACTGAGGCTCCTTTGACTTAAGTGATTTATTATGAGATCTTGACTCTACGACACAAAATCGACCGTACAACCTTAGAGAATTTTAGGGTATAAAAGAGACAAGAAACTTTGCTAGATAGTACTATGGGGATTAAAACAAAGGAAATCTCCTGGGAAGTTGGCAGGAGAGTGCGGGACCGAAAGGTGTACCTTAATCGCGGTGTGAATAGCTGTATTCGCAACATAGGTTAATCCTTTTGCGCCGAAATGCATGAGAGCGCTGCAGCTTGATTCAGCTGCCCGTTCAATGTACTGATCAATGTCCTAAAAAGTCATTTATAAAGCCATGTAACCTTTTCCTTGTTGCTGAGTCGGGGATGAACAATTTTTCTGTATATAATGCTGGACCCCTGTGTGAAGGGTAACACGAGGTAGAGGACGAATGCAGTTTTGATTTCGTAGTAGAGTGGGAACCTTTGCATATTTAGACAAATAATAAAATACCAAGCCAGTAAAATATCCCCAACGGTTTCAAAGGCAGTGAAACAGGAAAACACGATCCAATACATAGTCAGACGAACCTGAACGAGTAAAATTGCAGAAATGCATACCAACTCCTTCACATCCTTATACCTAAGAGCTTTGTAAGACTTATAAGCAGGATAGAGGACGCCAAAAATTGTTCTAAAGGTCTTATTAAGGGAATACTCGTACGTTATAAAGCGGCAGAACAGGGGCACGATCATTCGAACATAAATCGAAATGTGTGTGCAGATGAGTTAAAATATTTGCGCCACCTTGACCTATAAAATCAAAAATTAGTACGACAGTAATCTAAACAAACTAGATAGGGGTAGTAATTTTTGGGCCGAATCGAAGCCATCAAATAGCTAAATAGACACTATTTTTTATATGTGAAATCAAGCCACTTAGAGTCCAATTGGGTTGCTTTGGTAACAATGAAGGCTGTCGCAACAAATTTAAACATCCTTGGCGTCATTTAACAACTTGATATCAGGCATGTTTAGCACATATAATCGCAGTTTTGACTTAAATATTCCAAAGGTTATCTTAATAATATGTGAAATGAACTGCTCAGCTCCTCTAACCGATACAATGCATTTATTTATAATTAAATAAGGTACCAGATTTCTCCGGTTCGAAACTTAAGGAACCACAAGCACAAATTGTTGTTGAATTAAAATTTCTCTTAAAATCAAATCGCCATCGCGTGCAAGATGATCCATCAAGCTTGTAGTAAATATCGTTATGAAAAACCGTATGAACCCCATTTCAAGCTACCTCTTCCCCTTTTTACGAATCCATGCATATTTTTTGCGCATTTTACTACACTTTTACAGTTTTATTGTAAATCCACCTAAAATTTGCTCAAATTTTCGATGCACCCCAGATGGTTGTTTCTTCACATATTTCCAGGTTTACAAGTTGGTGTTTCGAGGCGGTCTTGTAAGGGTTGTAGTGTATGAATTGTGAAGGATGGAGAGGGTACCTTTCTGGAAGGGTGATGATGTCGAATTGTCTCCTTCGAACCCAGAAATATGTGTCTAAACAGAAGGTCATCACAGTCGTTTTCGTTTTTGATTCGGGTAAAGAAGCACCATCGCGTGTCACCACTTTGATTTCATGTGTATCGTCTCAAGTCTTTCCTGAAGCCGAAAAAAGTCATAGTACTGGGACAGGAGCTCCATTTCAAACGAACGAGGTGCTGGGGCCATCGGAATGACCCGAGAGCCATGCAGCCCGCGAAACCAAAACGTAGAGTCGAACAACTAATCAGAGTTACACATGTGTGTCTGGGTATAGGTTCTCATCAATACTCCACACTCCTTTCTTACGTTTTAACCCTAGTTGCACCTGGTGCGCACATCTGATGTAAACATGTATAGTTGAATAAATGAGATACTCCTATCCTAAACGCCTACGTAGCACTAATCAGTGTATTTTAAATGGAGGCGAACATATGAAGAGCTATAGGAACTTGCTGTATCTCATAACTCAAGGAGATCGAAACGAGCAAACGAATTTGAACCTAACCACTGATATCAAATGTGCGCCATATTTTGATGGTGTACTGGGGTTTCGTTGCTGATGTGAGTTCAAATTACATTACATTCGCCTTTTGGAACATCTCTCATTATTGCCCCTCTAGTTGCCAACGTATTCTTGCAGATCTCCAGTGTTTACGATAAGCCATTTTTTCCGCACAATTTTCGACTTATTGCCCAAAAATAGTGTCGGGAATAAAATTAAATTTGAAAAAATATCATTGCACTGCTTTGAAAAACATAGAGAATGGAGCACAGATTGTGAGTGACAACAGCAAGTCAAATTTACACATAGTAGGGTGCCCAAAATGCGTGTGCTATCACGGTTGTTTACCTCAGTGTCATGCTATAAATTATGGCACGGAGAAGGAGATGGAGAGGCGAGAAGGATTTAACCGGAGCCGACTTGCAGAACGACCACCGTAGCGTGATCTAATTTGCCAGGCATTCTTTTCATCGAGTCCATGATCCAAGCTCGCCTGCGCTCCAACTCACACAACTCATCGTCCTTCTTAGCAGTTCCTACGCTTCCGCAACTACCACCGCTAGCTGCACTCCCTGGTTCGGTCTTCTCTTGCATCGAATTCTTCTTACGCATGTATCGCGAGAACTGCGCCTTTAACTTGGTAGTTTCGGGTGCCTCGAGGAATTGGCGCTTCTGTGCTGTCACACGCTTGACGTGCCTCAGTAGGGCCTCCCCAAAGTCTGCTGCAGAAACTTCACCATTGCCGGTGTGCTCGAGCTCGTACCAAATGCGCGTGAGTTCCTTTGCCGCATACTGACGACGTTCCGGCCAGGTGAGCTCCAACTGGTCGGTGTAGTTGAGGCTGCGCGCACTCACCCCGTCGGGACTAGACAGAAGCGAATCGGGTTCTGGTGGTGTCAATGCCGGTGGTAGGGCCGATGGTGGGGGAGGCGGCGGTTTGGGCCACACCAGCAGCGCATAGGGCGTCGAGATAGGGGTCATTTTGGCCCAGTTATGGCACGCGTTTGGGTACACCTTAGAAAGAGTAGTACTGCCACTCTCAGCCTCGTTTTCGTCCACGTAGGTGATGTCTGGAGAACGTGGTATAGCGATGCGAAGGATCACTGGATCAAAGTTATCCGTCAGACCATCAGTTCCGAAGATTATCACATCCCTTGGAGCGCAGTGCACTACTAAAAGTGCAATTAAATAGCATATTCGATTATGAGGCTCGAAATATAAAATAAGTGAAAACGTAATAACGTTCAAATTCGAATTTCTGGGTTGTGACAATGAGTCTTCGAAAATAATTGAATTCACAAAACACATAATGGGTCTTAAATTCCGTAAAATGCATTTTGTGTAAATGTCACCATTCATAAGACACTTTTACCTACGCAAAAAAATGGGTAAAAGTAACCAAAGTACATTACTTGCCGCAATCCCCTATCAACGATATTTGTCATTCGGCAAAGCCGGACCACAAAGATTTTCTCACAAATATTAGCCACAAAATACGTTACAAATTCCTGAAATCGTATCACAGAATAGCGCCATTTGCCAAAAAGGAATGAAATTTACCTGTTCCTCCAATATCAAAATGAATTAATAATTATATAGGCAAAAAGTGATCGGTTACGATCGCTCAGATCCGTTCACTAAAAGTAGAATATTTACAATGCCATTTTTTTGTCATGTACAATTTTAGGACAGCGCGGCTCATTAAATATGTCCGCCTCTGCATGAAGACCCTAACAAGCGACCTTAACGTACCCGCACACATCAGGTTCTGTAGTTCCGGCTCGCCACACTCGTAGACGGGACCAAGGGCACCACCAGCGTCACGGAAGTCTCTCTCCGGAAAACCCTCGGTCTCACAGTCCGTTTTGGCGTCTGTAGAGGACGAATGCGGGGGAACCCAGCCGGTAACCTCGACTGTGTCGGTGCCCTCACGCAGCAGGAAGGCTTGCGAATCTCCGACGGAGGCGACAATGAGGGCACTGCTGTAGCGCGACGTCTCGGGTTCCTCGATGCCCTCCTCCACAGAAGAAGATGTGGAGAGGCTCGACTGACCAGAGCGGTGGCGTCGGTGACGCTCGCTCAAGTGCACCGGCAGAAGCAGACCTACGCAGAGGGTCGTAAGGCCCCGCGTCTGCGCCGTAATATCGAGGTGAGCCTGACGGAAAGCCGCGAACAGAAGGCTAGCAGCGTCCTAAAACGAAGTGTCATTTACAAGGCTACAACTTCACGCTTTGGTTAGATTTTGAAGAGGACAGCTTCCTTGGCAATATGCACAACGTGAAATCTCGTTAGCTCTAAAGCAATAGAATTTGCAGTACGGTGCTAATCCTCTGTTTCTGACAGTTAAACAACCAATAAGTTGTATTAAATGACATCATCTTATTTTCTACATACAGCTTAGCCGAAATTCCCCTCTTAGTTTATATTCATTTACGCATTAAGCAGTAAGTTTTTCCAGCAGTATGTCTCAAAATCAGATAAAAAATATTCACCAAAATAGTGTAGAGTGGAAAAGTCTACAGCTTCAAATTAAAATTTAACAACAACCTAGCTTATTTTCTATTTTACGATTTAGCTTTATTGATGCACCTAATTAATTTGCAAAATTTTGTGATTTTCATAAAACAGACCTAACGTAAGAAGAGCTACACTCATTTGTGCTCGGAATTAGTTGAATTTCCTGGACTTTTCCTTCAGCATCTTTTAAAAGTTAAGCAGGAGAATGAAAATGCAGAACTAGATTTCACTACAAATTTCAAAATAACCCAAGGAACTCTTCTTGAAATGAAGGTAGAGATCCATTGAGTCAGAGCCTAAATTGTTAGTGTTAAAGTAGTGTAATTTGTCGAATCACTTAATTAATTAAGTCTTTGCTATGCACAGAAAACTGAACAATGTAACTCGCAGCTAGAACTGCTTTGTTGGCGTGGTAAACTTTTTATTCCAAGAAAGAAAGTTGTTCCCTAAGGAGGTGCTTACAATTATACCATTGCAGCGCCGATGCATAAATCCCTTACCACGTCAATTACTTCGAGACAATTACGCAATCCCCCGCCCTAGTCAGTTTGATCGAGGATCACTCATTTCGCACGACCCAAGTATTGCGACCGATGAAAAATGCGTTATGTACACTGGCTCACTTCGGTATTTTCTGTCCTCAAGGGAAATGTAAAATAAACTAGGTACGAGTGAGAAGGCGACCGCCACTATCATTTGGCAGAGGTTATTACTAAACGTAAAAAATGTGCTTTTGGTTAACTTAAACTTAAGGTATTCCACCACTAGTTCCTTTTTTACTTTAGTGATGCTCGAACGTATGGTATAAAGTGGACATGGAACCACTATGGGTTGAAATTAGTTCTGACACCAGGAAGCAATGAAGTGTTGCACAAGAAGCGAGGTGAACACAGAAAAGCATTCAATTCCTAAAAGTGAATTAATTTGTGGTAGTACCACTTACAAATAAATGCATCTGTGGCGGACCTAGTTGTAAGCATTCAGCACCATACCACTAAAGTACGGTGTTATCAGCGAAAATGTGCATTAAATGTGTCTTTTTGACAAACTCTACCTCCACTCAAATGATTAATACCATGACTTGGCATTAGACTTTTCAGTTACCATTGTTCTTCGCCAAGACTTACGAACACATTAAAAATGGCATGATGAAAGAATTTGAAATGATACTAGTACATTCAAGGTTATCTAACAATAGTGCAAAGTGTTCGAACCCCCTTACCATAAGTAGACTTGCGCGTAACACGCTCAATAAATAATTCAACAATATGCTTACCACTGGTTCATGCAGTTTAGGTTTCTTAATTTCAATGTCGGAGAGGTTTATGATCAGTTGAGGAAGGCAAAACTAAGTTTTTAACGCCATTGCAGCAAAACATGACGAAATATTGGGACACGAGTTTTGAAGTTATGGGCGCTGGAAGCAAAAAATGTGATGCTTGCTGAATTTTAAGAGATCTCACCAACAGCCTACATTTGTAACTACAGATTGTACTAATAATTTTTCTTACAAACAGGCAATTTGTGCATTACCCTCATTCACAATTACATTTTCTCGATCCTTCGAAAGTCGCTAATACCACTGTTCCTTTTTTTGTAAATTATTTATTAAGTGCATGGGGCAAAGTAACAGAAATCACGGCTCATTTTACGAGTCTCCTTCCACGAAAAATGGAATCAACTACTTTTTAACACAATACCACGGAGCTAAAATTTTACTGCTTAGTCAGATGAAGCGTTGATGAAAATTTCAAGCTGGTTTTTCAAATTTCTTATGCGGCAAGCTCAAGCGTAACTCGACTAAGTTGGCAGTAAGCACAAACCCATCCAAATACTTTTTTTTAAAAATCCCCCACAGATTTCAGCAAGAATATATGGTTAGTGTGCTTTTTCTGGTTTGCAAAAAAATACTTAAATTTATGTGCTTATTTATGCAAAAAGGCGGTCTTTATCAGGCAAACATAAGATTAACCGTTGATGGGAGCTTTCCTAGTGTGCCGGTGTCATTAGTCGCACATGTGTTGCACCCATAGAGATAGTGATGAAAGGCGATAAATAGCTATTGCGAAGAAGTCTTATTTAAACGAAATGGCCAAACATATAAGTTGTCGAATGAAACGTCATAACAAAATTCTATCAGAATAATAGCAGTTGAATAGCGTCTCCCTGTAACAGATTGCTTGCTGCTTCAAAAATGTGGATTCCAAACAATCATGGTTTGTCAGATATCACATGAATAAACGGTTTTTGAAAACTCATTCGTAAGCTTGTAGGGTTATGGAGATTGCTAGCATAATTCAAGTTAAACGGATACGGATTTAATAAAATTTGCACACATTTTAAATTCACTGATGTGGCGCATATGGAGTAAGAGTAGCCTAAGAGATAACTTCATCAGACTAACCTTAAATTCGCAATAGCTTATGACAAATACGAAGTCTTACTCCCGAACTGCCACAGCTACGCGGACGGCTCAAGTAGTGTGGCTTTCTTTTTTGCTTCTATCAATGGAGGAGGGCACGTGCTATCAGCCCCAGTGCAACACAGCCATTAAGTGTTCCAAAATTTGGCGCAACGAAGACCATTAAAAATTGCACGCAGTGTTCTAGTCTTCGAAGGGCCAGACATTCTCAATAGGCAAAGGTATTTTAGCTTGGCTTTATTATACGGGAAGGTCAAAAATCTTGCACTTTCTACTTCATCCTAAATGCCAACCAGGAATGACTCATTCGAGTCTCTAATTTACCGACCCAGGCTACGCAGCACCTCCTTGGAGTTGGGCAATTTCCTTATCGCCCACAATAGCCGCCAATAGCAGCATTTGTAGCAAGTCAACAGTTAGGAAGGTGTATTAAGAAACAGTAATTGTTTGCTATGGTAAATTTTGCTCTGAAAATACAGCTCGGACGCTCAAATAAAGGGATATTCAGATTGTGCACACAGGGATTATAAAATACTAACAAAAACAACTGGCCCAGCTGCGTTCTCAAGTCTCAAAACGAGTGCAAAGGCAGGTTTGTAAAAAGGTGTTTCAGCAGAAAATGATTCACCGTGTAGTGTATTTGGGGAAAATTAGTTAATTCCGCATCAGTAATCGAGGTAGGATTCTAAGTAAAGCTAAAAAAATGAGAAGATCATAGCGACAACAACAAAATCACTCACCAAGCCAATGGGCTTTTGGATGTGATGAATAGCCATTGTTTTATCTGTTGTGTTGCTTCAAAACACCTCATAAATTATTGAAAGAAGATTAGACCAAGACTGGTCTTGTTAATAATACCATCAGAGTAATGCGTGCGAAATGAGCGAAGCATACTGAAGTGAGAAAGGGGAGGATTGAAGCCTACCCGAGTGTTGTGGATTTTGAGGGCTTGGGGTCCACCAAGGAGGAGGTTGGTTTCGAGGTGCTCGTAGACGGCATTAATGGCGCAGCGAGAAGCGCGCATCGCTGCTTCCCCCCAATTCACACCGTCGGCGACGGCGAGGAAGGCGCTGTTTGGTCGCACCTTCACCACAAATGCGTCAGCGATCGGGTCACCTGTGATGCGGGCTGGCAAATTAGGATACGAAACAACACCGCCCTCCCCTTAACAACAGTCACTATATAGGACTAAGGTAGTAGCTTTCAACTACACGCCTAGCTGTCTGCCCCATGAGGTCATGGGAGTCGCCAGAGGTAATATAAACTCCGTGCCAATATAACAAACGATAATAGCTACTTTTCCTGACTTAAAGACACCATGTAAGTACAGGGAAACATAGGTAATGGTACTGAACCTATCGACGTCTCGAAGGGTTATGGAAATAAAGAAATGAGAATGTCAAAATTCAAAAATAAACAATTGGAAAAGTAGCTCAGAGGGTTAAACTCATCCAGCCGACGACGCAGTGTCAACACGAATGGAAGTAACTTTAGCTACTGTTATAAACCTTTGTTACTTGCGTGAGAACCCGAATTTTCACTAAGACACAAAGAAGTGTCTAGTGGAGTCCGTTGCATATCCATAAAAATTTCTCATCTTTTAACTTAATTTATGGTTGCTTTACCAGGAGAACATCTTTGAGGGAATTACTTAAGGGAAGCGCACAGCGTCAAATAAAATATTCGTTGGGTAAAATATAGGAAACCCGAATGAATGCTGTTGCTGTTCGTGCTTCCATCTGGCGGCATGACCTTCCAACCATGTTCATGACCTCCCAGCCCCTTTATAGTTGAATAAATTTTTTATCCATAGTGATATGGCTTATTACCAGTATAGAAAAAGGCTCAGAACGCTACCGCTATTCTAAATGCGATCTCAATCTGTCGGTGGATGAAGATTTTGATAGTAAATTCACCTAATCTTGCTCAAAACCAGTTGCATTACCCCCTAAAAAAAGAATTGGCAGCAACGGTCATGACGCGATCAGATACTACCTCATTAGATTTTAGGATCCTAAGTCAGTTGGTCCATACAGTCTCAAAAGAGGGATGAAATTAATATCTTGTTGTGAGGTTTGCATATTCAAAAGCACTAAAACTTCAATTGACTCTCTAATCCAAGCACAAACTTGGCAAATTAAATAGCGCAAAAAGGCTTTAAAAGTCCAGAAAATGCTGTTTCCAATGTCTCTATTGCGTTAGTTAAAAATAGCAGGTAGAAATTGTCAGTTTCAGGACTAGATACATGTTCCGGCGTGACCTACGTGCCGCGAAAAATTAATTGTTTGCGACGTACTTTTAACAAAACATTAACGGATTTTGCATGCATGTGTCGCAACCAACGAAGGCGGCACTCGCGACTGTGTGAGATGCACGTCTTTTACTGGGGAAAAAACTTGATAATTTTCATTTACATAGGTTAATTCGACTAAGTCATATTACAGAAATACCTTCTTCTAGTAGAAATAATGACCTTTTTCATAAACACAACAAATCTGATGTCACGCAGTAAATTGAAGATAAGGATATGGTAGTCGTGACCAGTATTTGCGTTAATATTTGCATTGAGCAATAAGATTTTAATTGCATAAAATGCTGGAAAATCAGCGCAAATTTAATGGACGTTATCACATATACGTAGGCACAGTATTCTTCCTAAGTGGGTTCACGGAGTATGTGTAATTCATACCTCGGAGATAAACACAATTTCACAGTTACCATCGATGACTGTTTCCAAGACTTGCCAACTCTTCATGAATTCCTCCAAGACGGTGTATTCGTAAAATTTTCCTATGAGGGTGTAAAAGCCCTTTTGCCTACTAATCTCAAAGGAGGGATGTTTTGTGGCCATAGATTAAGAAAGTGCGGTAGAGCCAAAACAAGCCAAATCCACATTCACAGCAATCACTAAACGAATGCATTTAGATTGAGGGGACTGTCCAAAGTTGTTAGAAATTACTCAATACACCTCAACATTAAATCTTCGCCAAGCAATAACAAAATAATAGGCATCCGAACTTAAAAACCTTCTTTTACACTGCCAAAGTTGGATGGCATTAATAGTGCTCCTGAATTCTTTTTCCACAGAAAACAATAGCACAAAAAAGACATAATATCAACAATGAGACAATCGTTCTCGGTCAGTAAATCACCTTCAAATTGAAGTGTGGAAAATGTTAAAATCTAAACTGATAGTCAAACAGGTAAAGAATAAGGGTTGCAGTCGAGAGCGACGGTAGCCTTCATAGAGTAATGATGCGTCAAAAATAAAAAACGGAAGTTTCAGCCGTTTTCCGCGCTCGCCTGGATGGGGGAGGAAACCAATGTCTGGAGGTTGCGACACAGGAGAGTTTAAGAGATTTAACAGACCAGAGAAGAAGCGAGATTCACGACAATCACTTCTCAATAAGGACCTTGATTTTTTTACACAAAAAATGGAAGTCATCTTATGGAATTCATTTCTTGGCTTAGGGAAAGCTGTCTAAGTGGTGCGCCATATGCTCTGAACAGCAAAAGTCATTATGGGATATGAAGCCTTTAATAGTTTGCTTCTGAAAGGTAAGAGGAAATTCTACGGCCATTAAAAAGCAATGGGATGAGTTCCGGAAAATGATAACAAAAGAACTGGTAAGAAAACGTTTTTAGGTCGCTATTATTTTCAAAACAAAGTAAACGTTGAAAAAGCAATAAATATTGTGAGAAATGCTGATATTGAGGAATCCCCAAAAATATACCGTTTTGCTGCATTGTAAAGAATAAAGAGTGGTGGACACAAAACATTGCCTTCAATTTTACCTTAAGAATATATTGGTGATAGTTTTGAACGCATATTTACACACATAATTCCCTCAAAACATGATTTGTACGAATTTTAGGGGCGCTTAAGGGAATTGTCCTTCTGATCCTACTTAAAAATCTTATTTGTTCAGCCCAAACACAGAGCAGTCATAAAAAAGAAATTCCTAACATTTTCAAAGTACCAGCAACATCCCGGATATGCACGTGTGCTCAAGCGTGGCAAGCCAGACCTAAGGACAGCAGGAGGAGAAATTATTCATCTGCAGAACCACCTTTGAATGGCTAATTGAGAGTTCTGCTCGTTCGTGTGCACTAACCCGAGCGACCCCAGCGCGCCCACGACGCGTTGATGTGCTGAATGATAGTGAGGACGCTGGAAACTCCGTCAGATGCTTTAAGAGGTGCCGATGCCGTGGCACTATTAAGTACTCCAATCGAATAACAAAATTTTCCAAACAACCAGCAGTTAACAAATTTCTTTGTATGTCTTGCTAAAAAGAGACCAAATAAGCCAAAAATTGTTTATATAACTTTAATTTGTCTTTAAACTAAACCGTCCTTATGGCAGTTCTGTGCGAAGCACATTTCTTGGACTATATTAATAATCAAACAATTAAAAAAAGTAAAGGAATAGAACGAAGGTGACGCAGTTTTGTCCCATTTTTTACTCAACTTTGTATCATAGCTCTTCGCATTTCGCCTACGTTTACAGACTGTGATAGACAGAATCTGTCAAACGGCAATTCCATCAGGGCCCTACTTCAACCAATCCTGATGCACACCACACCACTGACACTGAATGGTTCGGTACAATTAAATTCAGTAGGATTTTGCTTTATGTCATCTCCCATAATGTTATAGGTAATAAAAAATGGAGGACTTTGCTAGATATTTTAAGGAAACCCCTAGCAAGGAGTGAATCAAAAAGTGGTTATAGCTACTGAAGTAGCTAAACAAAACAACAAGCCAAAGTGTCGATTTGCATGAGTTTAATATCAATCAGTCTGCAGATGAAAGGTATCACAGCACCATGCCTCATGTGAGATGGGAGGAGAGAGAAATACTTTGCCTTCGCTAGTCAGCCTTCATTGCATTAGGCTCGATTGGAAAGCGAAACGTTGTAAAAACGGCAGTTCCAGTTTAGGCTTAGGCTTCTAAAAGAGGGCTTTCCTACTCAAAGATTTAGCCAATTAATAAGCACCAGAGGAGGTTAATCGGTTGTGCAAAGAATAGGATGGCAGAATACCCTCAGAAACACAAGTTCATTTTTCGATTGAGTTGCCTCTTGGTTCAAATTCAAGACTTTAAATCCGGAAGTTCATTTCGTAGCAAAAGCCTAATCACTCAGTTCTTATGACACTGTATTTTATTTTTCAATTTTATGGTAATGTACTTTCGTTGATTTACTAAAGTTCTTAAGAGCAGGCCTCCATTTCAGCCATCGTGTGATAAATACCTGGGTGTTTTCTTCTTCAACAACTGAGTGCTAGTTTGTTATTTCTGCACAGGAATCTGCTCAAGTTAGGAAGTCATCTGAGTGAATGTGAAAGCTCTCTTTGAAAGTACATTTTCTGGCGTGTGAAACGTTGGCCCGGCTTAATTGCCAGCGCGGTTGAGTAGGTGTGTGCATAATTTGTAACCGAGCTCCAACTCCTTGACGACATCGCCCATCAATGGCTGAGTCACGACCCCCCAACAGTGACTGGAGTGTGCGGATATAGCTGGCCATGAAACAGTAAAGGAGCAATCACCCATAATGGAAAGCTGGCACACCCACACAGGTACCGTAGTCGACGCATTCCTGTACCAACGGTAGCAGCATCGGCACGTCAACAACAAATTTCCGATGTATATGATGTTTTGAGATAATGAGAATCAGTAACCAGGTGTTATTTACTCCTGTGCATTTATTCATTTCCGTCATCCAAGTATGCGTGATGATTGGTAAAATCGTCCCCAAACACAGCATAAACTCTGTTTAGAGTTTTCATAAAACGTTGATATCTAAATAGAAGTAACCTTGAAATGCAAAGAATGCTTTTGAATTCAAACGCAGGTAAGATAACAATTTGGCTATTTTTGAAGCATTTAGCTATAGTAGAGTACAACTAGACAAGCAGAAAGGCGTGGCGAAATCTCATCACATGTCCAGGCCAGATATTTTTTTTGACAGAAGCGAAAAAGGAATGGAGTGAACGAAGAATGCAAAACGCGAATGCTTCTGCGGCTTGTTTATTACTACGCCTGGGTTAAAAATCGACTTTTTACTCCACTAGGCTGCAATTTTCGAGCCACTTCGTGCATGCCATTCATTTTAGCTACAAGCTACAGTTCACAAACTCCAAATGAACGGATGAATTGAAATGACAAACGCATTAAAATACCGGTCTTACCGGATGTTCGACCAGTTACTGGATTCGTATCGTATAGCGAGACCGACTTTCCAAATGCCCTAGTATGCAGGATTTCTTTCCAGTTGTCAACAAAAACTAAAATATGAAGTAAATTTGCATAAGGTTGTTTCTTTTTGAATTACAAGGCATCATTTCAATTTAATCATATAAATTCCCCTTTCTGAATTTTTAGTGATATTCACCCAAGCCTGAGACGATACGCTGAAGTTTCTTCCCTGACCTCGGTGGAGCCCTACTATAAAGTAAAAGCGTAAAACATTACTTTAACTTTAATTTGCCTCCGCTATTGCTATAGTCGAGCATAAGACTAACCACTATCTAGTTTTGGCAGCGCAACCAAATCAGAAGGAAGTATGAATGCTGATCGAATGGCCAGGGAGTTTTACAAAGGAGGAGAAGGCTGGAGTTAAATCTCGATCGCTGAGAAGATTTAGAAAATCAGGATGTAAAATATGCGTTTATGCAAATGTGCTTTGCGATGGTTAGGAAATTTCGTAAATCTAAAGTCCTCTTAAAATGGGCGCGTTTGTTTATTCATATCCACTCCCTGCGAGCAATTAGAGCAAGGGGATGGTGGAACAGACAGAACAGCTGCATAATGTTACACACACAGTCGGACCTCCTCCTTCAAAAGTACTGCACTGACGCACATTGAATCTACGGTAACATCCCACTCATACATGACGCGAATCGCTCTAGTCACAAGCAAGGCTCACCTAATAATTCCGCTCATTAAAAAAACTGCACATTCGCACAGAATGCTTAAATAATTTCATGAGATGTTTATTGTGCAGCTTAAAGGGCATCTGAATGCTAGGGCGAATAAATAAGCGCGCCACTGTGCATTCGTCCTGGAAGCCAGTTAATCGAAGGTTCAGTCGGTGATGTACAATGAAACGAATTTACCTTTGACCCTGCGCAATCGACAAATATTTTGTCATGCTAAAAAGTTGGTTTCCCAAGATCGCAAGGGGAATATAACTGTACCCTAGTCAGGAATGCACGATCATTATTCTGCTTTCACAAGAGATTCAAATGATATTGTCTGTTTGTGCTATTGTAATAACTGGCGAGTAAAAAACCTACAATTTCCTGATTTGAAGAACTGCAAATTGTTGCCATAGCTTCACAAAGAAATTAAAGTGGTGCAGACTTTGTACAGAGCTAAATGCAGTACAACACCATCGAAGGCTAACTTCGCTCTTTCGTCAGTGCAATCGGCCATGGTGCGTGTATCAGGAGACCCGTACGAGGATTGTTTTAACCTTTTTACGGTAGCAGCTGGACTATAGCAAACACCTTTCTTATATTTTTATGACAGCATTTTCGCTATCTATTCGTAGCGTGTAGCACATCAAGCTCTCTGAAGTAGCAAATTATGAGTAGTCATTGCCCAACTTGCCTTATAGCTTTAAATTTGAGTTCTTTTAACAGGACAAAACATTGTGGCTTAAATATACGCGTCTAGTGAATCCAAGAAAAAAGCAATTACCGTAGATATGAAACTCTGTGTAGCCTTGAACATTTTGAGGATATGCACAAAAGAACTAGGTGGTCAGATGCATGAAGAGAGCTTCAATACGAGATTAGGAACACCTTGGAACCAAAGAGTTATTTCATCTTCAACATAAGCTAACAAGATAAGACTAAAGTAAATAACACTGGGTGATTTTGGAGTGTGAATCGAAACGTCTTATGGTTTAGTTTTTGAAATGCTGCTCACTCAATGGAAAATGCACAAACTAAGCTGCGCTGGAACATAATACTGTAAATGCGGGGACAATATAAGGTGACAGTTAAATGAGCACGTACTGCGCTAGGAGTTTTAAGTTTACTAAAAATTATTATGAAATTACAAGAGTTCGGTTATTTTGAATGGAGAGCGAACACAAATAATGTCAGTAAACATTCACACAGAGATTACGCATTCCACTTAATATCTTCGCTAACAAGGAATGTACTTACAAGCACGAATAAGAATTGAAGAGGGTTAACTCCCTACTGTACAGAGTAGTGGTATTCATCGCTTCAATAAAGCATTCAAAGAGAAACAACAGGCTTGTGAACCACTTTGGTAAAGGTTACAAGTATTCGGATGGTCTGCCTCGTTGGGTTTTCACATTGTGCAATTGGCCGCAGGATGAAAATTGAAGGAGATCGACCCAACTCTTTTAGTAATTCCTAGTTTTAAATTAGCTTACATCAATAAATAGCGCTGGGGAGGACACATCACATATTTTATACTTTAGTTTGTCAACAATCCAAAAAATAACAAATCTTGTGAACACTACCCGTGGTATTTCCTAAATTCGCATCATGTAGGAACTTTTGAATGAAGTCTTTTGAGCATCCTATTCGGATGTCAATTAAAAAGAACTGAGGCAACCCTTATTTCCAACCGTAATTTACGAAGGATTTTCGAATGCCAAAAGGTAACCATGTGATGTGCTTGTACAAAACCTCTTATACTTGAGAAATTCACCGGTTATCTTTGGAAGGGAAAGCAGACACTCCTCCTCAGGCAACTAGATTGTTAAGGCTTTGGATTTTACAGGTATAGAAATCTAACAACCACTGTGCATGCGACTTTTTTTGTGTGTATTTCATAAAGGAGAATAAAAGCACCACAACCTTTGGTTTTAACAGAAACCAAGCATTCGCTTTCGCAAAAGTTTTGTGTTCGCTTTTTTCCACCCAGCAGTTAAGCTGTTACGCCGTTGCAAAGTATTGCGGTTTGTCCAACTGCCTCTCCTCCCCCATTATGCCCACGTCATAAAACAAACTGCGTGCATTCCTCATAAGGTTAAGTGTGCGCTTTGGCTCCTCAAACGCCGAAGATATGAAAAATGCAATAAACTTAAGTTGTTTCCACTTAGCCACCAAAAAACAGGTGGGCAATAAAATTTAACCCTTAGTTTTAACGTTCATTTTACAGGCCTGCAAGCAGCAAGTCTTGCGCAGCGGAGTTATAACAAAAATGAGATGGATTAACGCATTGAAAGCAACAAGCCCATATTCTCTATGTACTCCTATAAGTTCTACGCCAGGGAAAAAGTTGTCATCATCTATACCCGTTGAGAGAATTGCTCCTAAATACTGACTGCTTTGTTGACAGGCAAATCACAAAACCCGCTTTTTAGTCAAACATTTAAATAACGACTTTGGTAGGTTTACTCCATATCACTATTCGCTCGCATCAACGTCCACAAATAAGTAAAAGTACTTGAAATCAATGCGGTGGACACCCGAAAATGGAAGGGTGGATTGTGGATGAGGATGACGCGCGCCTCGCGTGGTTACCTTGCGGCCACGAAAGGCGTAGACATTCGCAGGCCAACCATTTACTCCTAATGGACAAAAAGGCGACATTTGCCTTTCCTTCTCACAGATACCGGCCTACTCAGAGCAAAATTCCTGTGCTACTACCATGAATGACACATTTCAGAGAGTGAAAAATTTGAGGTCACATTACAACTTAGAACATTTATCATTTCAGAAATTATAATGTAATGTTCCAGCACATCAATAAGTGCTATCGCAAAGGTGGTTAAGTTTCACCATAAGGGGGTATTGATGATATTAAAACGAAACTTGTATGGATACTCTTAGAAAAGTGTAAGACAAACTTTCTTTTACGAGTTTAAAAATAGCCATGGCTTTCGGTACTTCAATTTTCTCAGCTCAAACATGAAACCATTTAATCCGAGCTCAGAATATGTCCAATCATAAGTACGTTTCATATACCATCTCTTTGACAGAAAATTCCACTCAAATCTCAATAAGTATTTGAGGTTATTATCAAACAGATGATAATTATGTTGGAGATCCCAAGAAAATACAAGCGAAAACATTTGTTTAGCCAATGGGCAAACACCAATTTATAAATGCTTGGGAAAATAAATAAGAATTACTTTTGATCCAAACATTATATCGATGCTTCCTTTAAGCATGTTAAAATCAGAATAGCTTAAGTGAAACTGATTTAAACCGCATTTGAGACACCATTATTGAACCAAATGTCAGATTTAAGGGCGCATTTGCAAAATACTTTCTTTCAAATGCAATGGAAAGTTGTTAAAGACTGGAGGTATTTGTTACTACCTACTAACCTCTGAATATTACAATATATAAGTCCCCATTTTAGATTCCGGAGACTAATAAAGCTTGTGCAGGATGTTCACAGTCATTAAACCAGGATCGAAAACAAACGGTAAAGCTGAGTGTGAAAGAATTTAGTCATTTATTTAAATTATTTTCGATAACTAAACTGCTAAAAGTTTGATGTGGCTGGGACCCACCATGAGTTCCACAGACAAGAGTCTTTGAGGTGCTCTTGTCTTTCCACTCCCGAGCGGCCTGGAACCCACTGTCAGGACCAGTCATCGCAGCTATGACCTTGCGATTGAGCAACTGTGAAGTCGCGATTCGCATAACCGCCTCTGGAGGCAGATCTTCCGGATTCGCTGCTCTCCACAGAAGGGAATTGCCGGTATCTTCGCCAGCAGGTGGTGTCTCCTATCCACCAAGTCGCAATTATCAATCAAGAGTGATTGTGACAAATTGTGAAAATATGTAGAAATTGCTAAATGCTATTTCCGATGGCTAAAACTTAATCCAATCACTTGGTTGACAACGCACACTCTTCTGTTTTCTCCCAATTCAGACGTCAAACCAGTAACACGAAGCCCTACACATATCATCTATGCAAATAGGCTCCCGGGCCTTCCATAACCCGATGGTAAGGCTATTTTTACAGTTATCAATGTTTGAACACTTAAAAATAGCTTAGGTATTGCACTACGTCATGCAATGTGCATCAGTCAACGTGTCCTGCTCATCCACCTCTTTCCAAAAAGGTTTAATATCAGTTTCTGTACAGAAAAGTATTATTTGAGAGACCCGATGATTTTAACCTAAAGATTTTTCTAGGAAGAAAGTGGTTAGCAGATTTCTGTGCTGAATCAAATAACAAGCAAAATATGCACCGATTCAGTCCATTTCTGGCTTAGACTAAACTGGTGGGACCCATTTTTTTCCAGTGTAAAACGGAGAAAGGAATAGCACCCTTTGATGAAATGAGTACTGTCAACGCCCGTATGTAAGAGGAAATTCCATGTAAAAAATTGATTTTCCAGTACATAGACGCAACACGTTTTATATTTTTTTATGTAACATACTCGAGTATTCTACGTTATGGCAGGATAATGTTAAAGTGGGCACTCCAGAGATCTTTGAATGTCATAGCATGCACCATAAAGTGGCTGCACCAACAGCCCCCACTGATTCAATAAATTACTATAAAAATACCCTCATTTCCAAATTTGTAAAGTAACGGGGAGTCTTAAGCACTATAAATATTGAGTAGAGATGTTAGGCAGTGAAAGCTCATTTCAACGAGCAAATGAATGTGCGCTTTGCACATGTCATGTGGAAATAGTTTCACAAGGTTAACACCATTATGGAGGTTAGAAATATACCAGAGCTTAGGAATTTGCTTTTCCCTTCCAGATTTAGCTAAGATGCGTTGAACGTAACATTCAATCTCGATATGGTAGAGAACAACGTATCGGGAGTCTTATCTAGAATTGTAAAACTTTGATGTACGCCAAGCTGATAAAACGGTGTGAGTTAATAGTTAATACACATACCATATAATTTGCGAAGGCCATAAATGAACATCATTTATCAAAGCCAGCACCGAATGACGTAAGGTCAAAAATATTTATTTTGCGTTAGAACTAGCAAAATGGCCGTAAGCCACCAACGGGTAATAATGATCCTAATGAAAACATCCTGAACCCACTCACATTAAAACTGCTTGTGTAAAATGACCGAAGAGAAGAAAGTGGCTTTAACCTTCTGGAATCAAGGCGAAGAGAATCCATGTGAGAGAACTTCTGCGATTCCATCGCCAGAGCCATCATTCAAAAATCCATTCAAATTGATATCAGGGCAGACTGCAAACTTTGTCTGATGTTAAAAAAAGGAATTCGCATGATCTGTATGTTAACTGTAACACCAAAATCGCACCGATAAAGGACTTCACTTACCTAAAATTCAAATGCATTACAAACTTAAGAAAGCATAGGATACCATTACATCGATTATGCTGTGTTATTCTATTTACCATAAGGTCTAACTACGATGGCAACTAAGCAAAAACAGCTCGCAAGACGGTCAAGAGTGTGTTAAGTGTTGTAAAAATAATACCTTAACAAATCTTAGGCCGTATAAGTTCTCGTTTATGATACTGCCACATAAATACCAGTAAAGTTGTGCAAGATAGCAACCACATTCTGTCAAAGGATGGTAGTGAGTTCTATGCGCAATTATTAAAGCATTAAAAAAACCACGATAGGAGAGATAATTTCAGTGTAAATAATTTAAATCTGAATACATGTAGTTAGTGTAAAAAATCAAAAAATAGCTCAGTTCTTTTCTACAGACAAACCAAGCGTTAAAATTTCGTTTATTGACATAGGTCACCTTGCCTCAGATCAACAAGAGATGGAATAAATACGCAGAAAATAACTGAAACAAAAGTAGACCAAAGATGGGACAAAAAGTCGCTGCGTTGCAACCAATTCATATATTATGTAAAGCACTAATAATATTCGGGCAAAAAAGGTATAGTAGGTTAGATAAGGGAAGAATGCCGGAAACACTTCATATATTTTGTTTGCAATTAAACCCACCAATTTGCAACACTAACCAGTTTTTAGCAGCTGTACTGGAAATTAAAGGACTAAATAAAAGGCAGCGAAAAGAGCCCCAACTCCACTCCACATTTCTACGTAGCAAAATACAGCAACACACCTCCACTCCTCGGGCATCCAATAAGCACGATAAAGCCCAAGCAAATAGCGCACTGCTGCAATAACTACTCTAAAAAATCACTTTTGATAAGGTTAAACAAAAAACAATACCAGAAAATAACTTGCATGTTATTAACTTTTTAATTAATACCTGTGGGCTAATTTTTAAACTAATTTTCTACGGGTAAAAAAAATCCATATAGCCTAAAAAAGCTTTGCAACCCCGAATTTAGCAACAAAATAAGCTTACAAATACCCTGTTTTAAAGTTAACAAGATTAGCTAGGAATAATACTTTGGACCTGTCTAACCTCCAGTCTTTCATGGATATTTTTACTTACGATTGGGTAGGTTCTTACAATCTGACAAGGTTGTAACTAAGTTAAATACATTAAAGTCTAGTGAAACAACTCTATCTGATTTGACAATCTATGCTCGTGGGGCTATAGCATTTCCTGGGAAAAAACCAAGCCATTTTTGATCGTTATTTTTAAAAATGTTATAGCATGGATTGTGTACAATAATGGGAATTTGCCAACTCATGGAGCACACTTAAATGGTTTTTTGTATCGGTCGCGGCATACTTTTGTAAGCCCGCTCACTTTAGATTGCCTTCTGAAGATGCCGGCGCCGAAAGGGGACTCTATGCGCGGCTTGTCTGTTTTTATTTCGGATATTAGAAATTGCAAGAGCAAGGAGGCGGAAATAAAACGAATAAATAAGGAATTGGCCAACATACGCTCTAAGTTCAAGGGCAGGGTTTGTGGTTTTCAAGCTGCTCTTCTTCATTTTTGATGCACGGTTATTCTGTAATATCCATTTTGACCCCTTTCTGCGCGATACGTGTACTTTCCACTTTGTTGGGTCGATGATGCTTGGTGTGTATATTTAGCTGACTTGTTTGCAACCATTGTTCGCGTTTCACTCCCGTTGTGATTTTATGATAGGTTTCTTTTGCCTTGGCTTTCATGATTACTCCCGTATCCTTTTTGTGGATTTGTATGCTTCAGAGAATTTATTTTTTTTTGCTAGTGAATATGATACTATGCTTAATAGTTTGCACTATTTGATGCCCTTTGTTATGTCTTTAGTTGAGTGAGACCATGTCTTATTATACTTACTTCCTTCCACTTAGATTAGTGCTGATTTCTTTTTAGGAGACAAAATGCTTGACGGTTATCATAAAAAGAAATATGTCTGTAAACTTCTCTTCATATTTCTTTTGGGCCACGACATTGACTTTGGTTACACTGAAGCTGTTAATCTGCTTTGTTCCAATCGCTATACGGAGAAGCAGATAGTACGTTTATTCTATAGCTTCGTGACACTGTCTTAGGGGTATTTATTCATCTCCGTTCTCTTGAATGATACCCATCCACTGATGAATCTGGTGATAAGTCGCATTCGTGATGACATGTCCAGCCGCAGCACGGCTTTTGTCAATCTTGCACTTCAGTGTGTGGCTAATATTGGAAATCGCGAGATGGCCGAACAATTTGGTTCGGAGATTCCCAAGCTCCTCGTTTCTGGGTACGTGTTGCTATTACCATTTTCAAATGCCCCTTTTTAGAGAAACATCAGATTCCATCAAACAGAATGCTGCTTTGTGTCTTCTGCGTCTTTTGCGTGTCGCTCCTGACCAAATGACGGACTTGGACTGGACTCCTCGGGCAATCCATTTACTAAACGATCCACACCTCGTATGGTTTTTTCCTTATTGGCTACTGGGTATTGGCTTGCTTAATGATTCACCGCATTGGAATTGCAGGGTGTTGTAACATCAGCGGTCAGTCTCATTGAGGAGCTTATCAAGAGGAATCCAGAGGAGTGCAAAAGCTGTGTTCCTCTCGCCGTCGCTCGTTTGGGCAGAGTGAGTTGCGAGGTTTAATTTGGCGCATATTCAATGCATATTTAAACCCATGTTTTTTTGTTACTACATTGCCGCTTCAGTTGTACCTGTATTCATAAAACCCCATTCCACTTAAATTTGTCGTTGCAATTTTAGTATAATACTTAGACCATTTTTATTTCGTTGATTTTTTTTTCGTTATTTTCTGTTCTCTGCCATTGTAAGTCGTCGCCTTGGATCACTAAGGTTGTTGTGTCATCATTGTAATGTTCCCTTAAATCCGTTCATAGTATCTGCGAATAATATGCTCTTACTTAGCTTTGCTTGTTCATACATTAACCTTTAAACCCCTAATTTTCTCTCGGGAAATCGATGCCCTTATATTGCTTTCTGTAAACATACTTCGTACATCATATATTATTTTCTGGTACGTATACTGCATCAACGATAGGCTCGTTGCCAGGCGAGCATAAACTGGATGTGCGCGTACTTGCGCATGGGTGCCTTTTATCTTTTCCAATGTACGCTTACATTTTCAGGGATACCAACTTTAAGGCTCAGTGTACTAACTTGCTCTTGTGTTTTCCCCGTTCAGTTAATTACATCTTCGTACACAGACCTTCAAGACTACACTTATTACTTCGTCACCGCACCCTGGCTTTCTGTGAAGCTCCTGAGGCTTCTGCAAAACTACCCTCCTCCTGGTACGTTTTACATTAAATATATCAGCCTTTCCAATGCATGTTACTTCTTCCTCTCAGTTGTTCTATGCCCTCATAAAGACCGTTAATCCTTTGTTTAGGTATTTTTCTACTAGAGACTTTTGGTAGGTTCCTTTGGTGCAGGTGCGGCTGGCATGTAAACAGTGACACATTTGTATACCGTCTACATCCTCCTGTCATTTTATTACTAAACCAAGCAAAATTTTGCATACTATATGATATCCTTCCCTATGGTTAAGGCAGGCCATGATTTTTATATGGTGAAACCTCTTCAATTGCGTTCTTTGTCAGGGCATCATGGCATGCTTTTGTAGTATAATGTTCACTTCAATACTCACCTTTCTGCGTTGCCGTTTATTGCCCGAATTTCGCTCGTAGCGTCTGTGAAGTGTGATAAAACTCATTCTTTATTGTTCGACTTAAGTGACCGATTATTGCCTATCAAGAGGATGAGGAGACTAATTTAGTAAACAAATTATTAAATCCTACTTTGTAGAGGACACAACGGTGCGCTGTCGGCTGACTGATTGTTTGGACACCATTCTAAAGAAGGTACAAGAGCCACCCAAGTCTAAGAAGGTCCAGCATCCCAATGCAAAAAATGCGGTTCTTTTTGAAGCCATCAATCTTATTATCCACATGGACTGCGATCGAAAGTTGTTGGTTCGTGCTTGCAATCAACTTGGCCAATTTCTTCAGCACAAGGAGACCAACCTTCGCTACCTGGCTCTTGAGTCACTTTGTCTTCTAGCTACCAGCGAATTCAGTCATGAGGCTGTTAAGAAACACCAAGAAACCATCGTCAACGCCCTTAAGGTAATGTAAATTTTTCTCTTTCGCTTGACAATGCGATTCATGCATGTTCTTTAGATGAGACATCATTTCATAGGTTGAATATGATTAATGTATTGTCGCCATCTATGAGTATACCAGAGTTCTAGTATTAACATGCATTTAAAAATCACTACTCTATTTGATTGCTCATAAATGTGTCTTTTGGCAGATGGGTGTAAATTATGTTGATAATCTGGTTTAAAAGTTCTTAAATCTTTCGTAATCGGTGATGCCAGTTTGTAACTCTGTGCTGCGCAGATAAGCAAGATTGGCATTGAATTTTTCCTATTTTAACATGAATGAATCGCTTTTTTTCTCCAAACGAGAACTTTTCTGTTGGCCCATTAATTTTAGGTTGAGCAATCGCTGCGTTATTTTAGTATGAAATTGTAGATTACTGCCATTTTTTTGCCTAAAACGACTGAGCTTTGTTTTCTTGGCACACTAAGTAAAATTTTTCTTCACTACCTCATGGCACAGGAAATTTAAAGCACTGGCGCCTACTACTATCAGGATGTACTTATGATAAAAGGCAGTAGCATTCTGTACAAATTTTGTAAAAAGTGGAATGAATGCTCCTCTATGCCAATGTCATCGCCCGTGTGTGTTGATTAGACGGAGCGTGATGTGTCGGTGCGCCAGCGCGCAGCTGACCTCCTCTACGCGATGTGTGACCGGTCAAACGCACAGGCCATAGTTGGAGAGATGTTGTCATACCTGGAGACCGCGGACTATTCCATTCGCGAGGAGATGGTTCTCAAGGTAGCCATCCTGGCGGAGAAGTACGCTATCGACTACTCCTGGTATGTGGACACTATCCTCATGCTGATCCGCGTAGCCGGCGACTACGTTAGTGATGAGGTCTGGCACCGCGTTGTTCAGATTGTGGTCAATCGGGAGGATGTGCAAGCCTATGCTGCGAAGACTGTCTTCGATGTAAGCCACCTATTTCTCTCTTCCCTTCCTTACACCTACTTCCGGTCAATTTTCTTCTTTTCTCTATCTGTGATTATTCAGCCATGAACGGAGGCGAGTAGCCACTGCGTTCGGCATGCTTGTGTATATATTCTTCTGAGCAATTTCTGTGCATTTAGTGTCGCCTTCTTGCGTGACCGCAAAACCACATCTGCGGCGGCAGGGTGCAATAAAATTGGTGGGAGACATCCTCCCCCTCATTTGTTGCTTCGTTAGATTTTTATTTGGTACCATGTATTCTCGTCATTGCTTTTTAGGCTCTAACAGCTCCAGCTTGCCACGAAAATATGGTTAAGGTTGGAGGCTACATCCTTGGTGAATTCGGAAACTTGATTGCCGGTGATGCACGTTCTTCGTACGTCCATTTCCTCAAAATATATTGATAGTTTAACTAACGCCAGTTCTTAGTGCGGAACGGCGTAGCCTTGAGCTTGAACTGTTTTCCTACGTACTAATGGGACCCGTACTTTCCACTAAATGCTCTCATTTACAAAGATTCGAACTAATGTTATCACTTTTCGGCTTTCCAGACCGAGGATGCAGTTCGAGCTTATCCATAGTAAGTATCATCTATGCACACCCACGACACGCCAGCTTCTCCTCTCAACCTACGTGAAGTTCATCAACCTCTTCCCCGAACTGAAGGAAACGATAGTTGAGGTTCTTTCACAGGATAGCAACTATCGTAGCTCCAATGTTGAGATTCAACAGCGATCTGTTGAGTACTTAGCCCTCTCAAAGGTTGTCACTGAAGACATTCTGGTCAGTTAACACCTTTACTGTGATTGCTGTTTCTGGATCGACATCTGTGTCAATTGTGAAATGAATGGCCTTTAATAGATTTTACAATCTTTTTCCTATTATAAACTACCAATTTCCGCAAGAAAATGTGCTTTTATGACACCTTGTTTCATCGGATGTAAAATCCGACTTGTTATTTAATTGCGCACTAGTGTTTGCGCCTTTAGTTGTAGTGTAAGATTGCATCCAAATTTGACTTCACATATATCATGCTTGTCGCTGTTGTTGTTGTCATTTCTGTCAAATTGGCGTTGGCCTGAAAATCATTCACATAAACTCTGTCATCAAATTTTTTCTAGGCTTCATTTGATTGGGATGCTGTCGAACTTCGTTAGATCTTTGTACGTAGAAGTAAACGAAGCCTCTCAGCATTGGCTAACTGCCGCTCAACCCTGTCTGTGATGTCAAAAGCTAGCTTCACTTTGTCTCTTTAGGCTACGGTTTTGGAGGAGATGCCTCCATTCCCCGAGCGGGAGTCGAGTATTCTGGCCAAACTGAAAGCTAAGAAGCCGGAGTCCGATGGTCTTTCCTCAAGTGTGAAGACTAGCGACCGAATTCAACAGAAGGCCACCTCTGCAAACGACACGGAGAAGCCACCAGTGGTAAGGTTTATAGCAGCGTTTTCCTCCTCTGTCCGCCTATTGCGTTTGCACAAGTGGATTTAATGCATCTTCCCATTGGTTGGCTAAGTTGAGAGCAAGGCGTAGGTGCGGTTATGCCTCCGCTTTCTGCCCGCGAATGGGAGTAGAAAAGGGGCTCTCCTTTGCTTCATCCTTTTTCCCTTGCCTCCCAGATCACTGTTTGTAAATTTCGCGAAAGGCTTCTGTTATTCTAGCTGTGATGATTTAGGGCCTTCCAGCTTTTTATATTTGGAATGTTTAATTCTGAGATCGCTGTTTGTGGTTGTACATGGTTTTGATTTTGGGATTTCTGAAAACATTTGTTTAACGAAAGCGACATCTGCACAGCTTGTCCTGAGCAAATTCACAGGAAAATTATTCACGACACATATGTCCATGCATATGCGCACTTCCACCTTTTCAAATATTAAGTATCAAACAGAATTTCTCATTCATATTGTTGCTGAATTTAATTGCTGTAATCTCAAACATCTATCCTCATTTTCAACGCAAACCACTGAAGCGCGTAAAAATCTTGTGGTATCATCATTTCACTTGTATTCAATATGGTCAATAATTGCTTGAATGTGATATCAAAGTTGGTTGAAAACTAGCATAACGAAGTCATGTGCCCCTTTTCATGCTTGTTCAGCCCATATTTAGTTTTGTATCCATCCACAAAAGATTTTAAAACTTGTTTGATTAGCGTAATGCCTTTAAATTTGCCCCTTTTCATTGTTATTAACATTTTAATGAGACGTATGTATATAAGATACCCTTTTTTGGAACAGATCCATTTGAGCATGTGTTTTCCTGAGTTAATTATGCCACTATTTATCGGTTCGTGTAATTGTCACCGTTGTTTTTCGTTAGGCCCCCGGAAACAACGGTACTGCAGAGGCGGATTTGTTGGGTCTCGGGTTGATCACGACCCCCGCCCCAACAACCACTGCGGAGGCCTCGAAGGCGCCGCCTGCCAGTACCAACAATCAGTTCTTGGCCGACATCCTTGGCAATGGTACAGTCGAGGCCGGCTCCAACGCTATGGTCCTCTCTCAGCCTCAGACCCGCTCCACGGCTCTCGTAGACCTCGAATCGGAATACATTAGGTCAGCTACAGCACTGCGCTTCCTTTCGAAGACCTCGTCTTCTATAGACCTTGACACTCCTGTTTAACGCTTCCTTGAAACTATTTTAAGGCTGATCTACAGGCCACAAGGTGTGCTGTTCGAGAACGCCCTTATACAGATCGGCTATCGATCAGAGTTCCAAGGCAATTTAGGCAGAGTGCAGCTGTTTTACGGCAACAAGAGCGGCTCGGCTATCACGGCTTTTGCTTCAAAGGTGGTGTTCTCGGAGATCTGTCCAACCACGGGCAGGAGTCCCCTCAACCTCGACCTTCGTCCTGCACCCACCACTATTGAGCCTGAGAAGCAGGTTCCGCAGGTCCTCAACATCGAATGTCTCGTCGACTTTGCTGAGATTCCTGTCCTGAGCATCAATTACTCGTAAGTCGCCTTACATTCCTTATCTTTTTATATTAAAGGAAGGGGAAGGCATGTGTCTCTCAGCTTCTCTACGTTTATCGGGTTACTCGAAGGTGCAAGCAAAAGCCTTGTTCCTCAATGATTTACATTAATCAATTCGCGTTTATACCATAAATATCATCTTCGAAAAGCATTACAAATTGGCTTCGACTCCTCCGACTCATCGGCTCGCCTTATTCTTTTTTCAGAAACCAGAATGGTTCGAATCAACTGTCGCTTCCGCTACCGATTTTTCTTAACAAGTTCGCTCAGTCCGCACCAATGGATCAGCCGACGTTTTTTGCTCGATGGAAGCTTCTTTGCCAGTAAGCACTCATGGCCCAATCATACTTTATTGTTTGTGTTGTCCAAATGCATAAGAATCCTATTTTAAAGGATGACAATTTGTTTCACAAGAATCAGACATTTATTTTAGACATTATTCAGTTCCTAGCAAACCTCAAAGTCGGGTTTTAACCACATATCGGTAGTTGGCAGAATTTTATGCAGCTAAATGTGAATTGCTCCTGTATTATTTGCATTCTGGTTTATAAGGCGTCGATGCTTTTTGTTTATATCAGACCTGGTCAGGAATGCCAAAGGGTGGCGGGAGCCAAGCTCTCCTTCAACTTGAATGACATCAAGCAACGGGTGAGTAGCAAGTGATTTTACCATGTCCATGTTCAACCACGTCCAAAAAACCACGTTACGTCGAAATTTCGATCAGGCGGCCAATCGTTGTTGTCTTTTGATATTGCCCTCTTTTTTGTGTATGCTCCCATGCCTTTCACTAGGAGTTAGCCGAAATTATAGCCAACGAAAAGTACGTGCCACTGCCAACATTCTAGCTATCCTTTATTTTATGCACTTTTATTTTAGTGCCTTTAAATTAACTCCTAAAGTTACAGAATTGCTCATTTGACTTCTCTAGATTTCTGGGTCAGGGCTGAGCATTCTACCAGACATTGATCCCTGCCCAACCAACATCGTGTGTGCAGGAATCGTTCATACTGCTAGTCAGCAGGTTGGCGTTCTCGCTCGAATAGAATCCAACGTAGGTTTTGCTACACCTTTGATCTGTGCCTCTTCTTTGTCTTACAGTCACTGCTAAATGTCGATTTTTATTGACAACTATTCGATAAATTGACTCAATAAACTCATTGAAAAATAAGCCCTCTAAAGAATCTACTTCTGCTTCCCTTTCCTGTTTCGTAACGTGAAATTGGGTTTTCACTTCTGAAAGTATTTTTTTGTTGGGAACGCTATGCAGCCTCATCAAAATCTTTATTTACCCCAGAACTTCCGCGTGACCGTCAGAAGCACTAAGGCATCGGTCTCCGACTGCATCTGTTCTATTCTGCTCACAGAGCTGAGATAAGTGCTGTCCTATCGCCGCAGTCCTGCTGACCGACACCCAGTGTGATGCAACAATCGCACCTCGCATTTTATAATGTCTAACATTCGTCAACGAAATAAAGCTGATGATTTTGGCTCAGCACGTCCGCTGCTAGCCTCTTCAATGCTCCCTTCCTTCCCTTCTGGCGCCCTTGCGACGACTCTCCTCGTGTGATGATTTAGCCGCTGTCAGTTGATCTCTTCCTACTGATTTTTCCCTCACTTTCCGTGCAAATACAAGAGCGTAGCACCCGCGCGCCACCTGTGTTGTCCTCCTCCCTGTGCGTGTCTGCATTCAGAAGGAAATTCCACTTCGGACGATTGCGGTCAATTTGTTATTTAAAGCAATCCAACGATCACTCCCCTCCCTCCCATTCCTGTTCGTGTTGTGATCGACCCTACCACAACTTTCCTAATCTAGAAAAATCTCTTCGCATCAATCTGCATTCCTTAGGCGAGTTGGTTGGGTTAAGGATTAACTCTAGATACATCCAAAACGATTTATCGTATTAAAATTGCTCTGGAATCGGTGTTTTGCGAAGAGGGAAAAACAAAATACTCGAAGCGATGATGAACACGGAGAGCGACTTTACTTCCCCCCCTAAGGTGTACTGACGAGTGTTCATATTCACAAACGCCACTGCAGTTCAGTCAGCAGAATCAAATCAGCAAGTTCTGAGCTATTTAATAATCACGATATCTACAGATATATAGAAGGCTGGGTACACGGCTACTGCTGTTGGGATCGCGCTATCATTTGTTGCAGCCGATTACGGAGAAACACTGAAACATCGATGTAGCGTTCCGCACAATTTTTGAGGCAATTGGCTCGTTTATCGTCCAGTTTTGCACCAGGAGTGCCAGTGTAGCAAAGGTCCCAGCAGCGACTAGTTAATTGAGAAACTTGGTTTTGGAATTCGGCCTGAGTCTGAAGCTGTTGAAGTGCCAACTTCATTTCAGCTTCACCTGCTATATTGGATGTTGATGACTGAAATGATGAGTCATCGCCAAAACTTGTGTTTGGGGACGAAGAATCGAATCTGTGACAATCAAAGATAGATTACATTCTTGGACATGAAAATTTTGGCGCGCCAATGAAACAATGTGGCTCAACACTACCACTAGGCGAAAGTGGGTGAAGCAATGTTTATAATCACTTCTAGAATGTCCGCCTGCACATGAAAAAGAATGAAAAATACTACCACTCTGGAATCTTTCAAGAGATTTTCCTAAAATACACTTGGAACAAGCGACACCCACCCGTAAGACATGACCACGCAGCCACCGGATTGCTAAGTGGCCCTCTTCTAATTCGCGGGTCTCGTTAAGTATTGTAAAAAAGTCAGTTTTCATCCTATGATTAGCAAACCTAAATATGCCTACTCGCTTTGAACCTCTATCGATTCCATTTCATTGTTTAAGCTCAAAATTTTTTTTGCTTAAAATATTTCAAAGTGAGTCTAACTGCAACTAAAGGGACTCAAGCGAAGTGCAATCCCCTAAATGCACACTTTGGGACTTTTATTTTTTCCTCTGCTCTTGATGATGTAATCGATTTGATTCACAAAACTCATGTTTACGGTTGTTTTCTTGTTTGACGAAATTCAATCACATCGGAGAGCAACTAGCCTACTTTCCATTAAATGAAAGCAGCAGCAGATTTTGTGGTTTTTTGGATGGTTGATTAATTTGCACTAGTGCAAAAGACTTCTTTTTTAGAAATTTTACTTTTGTAAATGCTTTTGATCATGGTTTCTTGTGAACGACACACAAGTCAGAACTGCCTCCATGGCACTGTTTTGAGGAAGTGCGGAATATTTTTAGCGAAGGTCCAATGTTTTTTCAATAAAGTTCTTTCAGACAGGCGAATGTTCAAGAAAACTTTTTGTATTTGTTAATACAACAGGAATGTTAGCAAGTTGAGGGTGCAAACTGAAAAAAAATTAATTGGTCTGTAAAAGCCCATATTTCTGCATAATCCATGTCGGTCAATAATTCTATAATAAGTTTTGGTGAATTTTGTTTGTATGATTCAGTCGGTTGCTGTGTCCCGGGCTATTCCTGAAGCCGTAGTAATGCAATGCCAGCTCGAAGGGAGGGCTGTTATAGTGTAGAGCTGTGCCATTGAGCGAAAGTGCAATCTGGGGTGGATGAATGCCTTGTATCCTTAAGCTTGGTTGCTTAGATCCTTTCAACAAAGGCAATCGGGATTATTTTATTCACGGTTAACATGCAAATATAAACCAGTCTCATGGTACACATGGGCTAGTTGTTTTTCCATGTATATTTCAGTCATCAGCAGATGCTATGATCTATCAACGCCTTGTTTGTAACGTGGAAGTAAACGTCGTAAACGTAGGCTCGTCGACTCTCGCAGTCTTTCTTTTTGTTGAGAGCGTAACTTATACAGAAGATATAGGACAATTCACCTTTCAGAAATGCTATTCATTACATTCTGGCGTTGGGTTGATGTGACAGGTCACTTGGTAACATCAATATGAGGTGACAATTTTGACCTTGGTAGTGGTAAATCTGATAGTTTGCTTTTTGGGTCTATCGTTCTTGATGATGATCCATAATTTGGGAGTTTCTCCGACTTGTTTTTGGGTGTGACCCTTTTTGGCGACGTCGAACCTAGATAGGCAATGCAATAATGCAAAGGAGCTTCAGGTAGAACAGGACAAGTTTCCAACAGTCTGGTGAGATGTTTTTTACTTCTATTCGATTGAAAATGTTTTCCCGTATACTCCAATTGACACTTCTGCATAGATTGAATCTTTTCCCTCAAGATTTGTCTCAAATTCCTCAGCGTTTGACTATCATCCTAATTAAGGTGAATTCTTGGCTAACATCACACATCGTCTACGTCCAAAAAACTACGTTATGTCGGAATTCCGATCAGGTGGGCAATGGCTGTTGTCTCTTGACATTGTCCTCTTTTTTGTATACTGCCATCCTGGCATAAAACAGAAAGTTCACTTTTGCGTATACACAGTGGAACGATTGAATGCTGTCGTCATTGAGGATGGAGTCGACCTTGCAGTCAACCATCGCTAACTTGATAAGTACCATTTGTCCGCATTAATCTGTCTGGAGCATTTATTGCCAACTTTTCAACAATCAAACGACTAAGGGTGAGACGTAAATCTAAAAATAAGTGGCACTTTGTCTCAAATGCTCAAAAGAGAAAAGCGAGGTAGTAACCCCTTGCCTTTTGTGATTAAACGGGTTTACCCATCAAACATATTTCGTGTAGTGCATCTGAACAAGTCAAGCTTTCATCCAAACTCATTATTTTAGCGTATAAGTTCGATAAAAAACGCTATGATTTATTTACTTAAGCTTTGGACATGCAGAATCTCCTGTTGTCTGAAGTCCCAAGATTGGTACAACCAAGGAACACCATTCAATTCAACAGTTGAGCTCGCGAATGGAATGTGCAGGTAGTGGACTCTCCCATAATTACATAAAATATCCATACAGCATTTCTGAACTAATAATAAGGACCTAGATTGTACTTGTATTTGTGCTAAACATTATACATTACAAACATAGAGCATAAGGTGAAACCATGAAGTATAAAAGACAATGAGCTCGTAGAGCTTAGTGGAGAAGCAAAACAAAAAAATGGAATGTCAGTGCCGCAGGTTCTATATTGTCTCAATAAATTCTGCGTAAATTGAAGGGCCCTGTCTGCCTGGATTATGGTGCCTGGCCCCCTCAAACTTCTCAGACGGTGGAAAGTAGTGACAATCTTCATAGTCATAGTTGCTGCTAACGATACTTTCACTCGAGCTACCTGAAGTAGCGTCGGTGAGACTCAATGATGACTCATAGTTGAGATCGTAGTCAGCAGCATTTTCCTCCTCATCGTCATACAAAATATAGGGGATGTCTGGAAGAAGTTGTGAAGCGGCCTCTATTTTCGGTGATTCAATGCACGTACAGTCATCCTTACACCCCAAACCCACCAGTATTGGGGTCTGTAAGTCGACAAGCTGTGGCTCCGGCAAAGGTACTGGACTTCGACATGCACCTCTGCTGTCACTTTCTAATCCGAATGATTGAGAGGACTTCGTCAGAGGTGAAGGAGAGGTAACAAGCGGTGACCGAAGGGAGGCTATTGAAGATTCACGAAGAGGGTCAGGAAGGACTGGTACCACCGAAGGAGAAACTGCATTTTGTTCTGGCTTCCGCCCATCAACATCAATCGTTGTGGTTACAGGAGTGAAGGAGACCTTTTGAAGACTCTCCTTGGCGCCACTTGCTTCGGGAGTGGGTGTCACTACACTCAACTTTACCCCGTAGATGTTCTTTATGTTTTCGTACCCCATAGAGGAGTGCTTCATGTCACGAGAGCGCCTTGTGGCGGTTCGAGACGGGACGCTGTTCACTGGAAGATATGACATCGCTACAGAGGAGGAGTCTTCTCGAGCATCGATAGAGCTGCTCATCGAGCTGTGACGATTGCTACTGCCCGTAGTGCCACCAGAACCCCCATATATTCCCACTTGCGAGCGTACTGAGGATTTACAGCCCGTATCAATTTCTGTATCCTCTTCGTCGTCTTCAGCAATCACCTCATCATCATCATCGTCTTCATCATCTTCATCCTCCTCTCTTAGATGACCGCTAAATTCGCTGCGGCTATTGGAGGAACGACTTAGCCATAGGCTGCTATGTTGGCTGCCGCGTTTAGTGCTCGATTTTCGTCCACGTCGACGCGAGCCACCTCTGTGACTGTAGGAGTTTCGGAGAAGCGATCTTTGTGTCATCTGCTTGCCGAAGTCGCTGGAGCTACTCGGAAGGCATTGATTGCGTTTCAACACGAAGAGGAGCAAAAAGCCGAGCATAAGAGCAAACACGACCCCCAGTATGCCTCCGATGAGGGCAGAGAGGTGCCAGTTCTGCGTGGTCGCCTGGGTACAACGCACCTCGTAGGCGTAGTTGTCCGGAGAGACGGGAGTTGAGGGCTGTCGTACATGCCAGTTTAAGGGAGAGCGGTTGGTAGTTGTCAGGGTGGATGTTGTGGGTGCAGGTGTTAAGCCGAATTTCGTTGATTGCAACCGGTGGTGGACACGTAGACAGATAAAGTAGGTAGTTTCAGGACGTAGGTTTTGCAGTGTGAAAGAAGTAATTGGCTGAGTTATTATTTCTGTTCTCTCAAAACCCTCGTCCAGTGGACTGTAGTAGAATATCTAGCAAACACGATTAAGGAGCATTAAATAAAATCCAAAAAACCTAAAGTATTTTAAATTAATAAGAGTAATTCCTTCATTACATTACCTTTATTGAGAAGGTTAACATGAACTAAAAATTGACGTTTGGAAGTTTCCTTCATCAAGACATTATTTCCACCCTTGTGGTCACGCAATGTGTTTTTCTCCAAGCGTCATTTAAATACCGCACTTCACCAAAGTAGCTAAGGACAAACTCAGTGTTACAAACTGGGGTTGGATATTTACCTTGCATCTTTTTGTCTTTGCTGAACGAATGCTTAATGGCAAGTTTGAGGGCTGTAATTTCAGTTATTCCAAAGCGAATGAATGTATTTGACCATTGAGATCTTTCCTCTATAGCCTCCTACTGCTTTAACTCGCCACTATCCGGTGTGCTCCTCAAGAGGGAGCATCTTGCTTCTAATCTGCAATGCCACCTTTTTTTGGATTTTAACGCATTTGACCCTCTAAACATTTATAGTAAATATCTTTGTGGTATAACAATCACTTTAATCAAAACTAATGGCAAATCACAAAATTGGTTCAATTTTTTTAACCGAAGGTAATTTGCATATATTTTGCATTCAACTATGCGGATCCTTTAGCCATGGTGGTTCAGTTTCCTATTTGGTGGCATAGCATTCCACCCATGCTCGCACCCTCCGGTCCGACTGTGGGTATGTGATCCACCTTCCATACTAGCACGTCCTACACCATCTTCGGAAATGTCTCAAGTCCTATATGTGTGGCAGCAGCAAGCAAACCTCAAGCAAAAGGGCAACTATCCGGATAATTTTAAAGGCTTAGCGAACCCTGACTTCAAAGAAGGAAGGAAAGAAGGTGTCTGCTGCAAAAGGTTGATTTGGTGAGAATTTACAACAAAAGGGTTGTTGAAGCCACATTTACTTTGGTGGTCATCTAACCTCGCGTCTGCAAAAAGGCAATTAACATCTGAAGTGAAAATACAAGTGAACTGTGTAAACGTTCATAATGAAGCCACCCACGGTACTCATATGTGGGGATTTGAATCACGTGAATAAATTTTACCCCAGCAGCAGAATGGAACCGGGATAAATGGTTGAGCAGCATTGAACTGACAAAGAGACAAGTAGGCCTCTTTAAAATGTCTTCTTAAAAGGCTATTGATACATAAAATTTACTCATCGTAGGCTCTTGTCCATACTTGAGCAACGAATTCCGCCAAAGTAGTTCACAGAGGAGACACAAATCTTAACGCAATGGAATCGACGAGAGGCATCACTCATGTTGAGATTAAACATGTTTTAGTTTCTGTAGAAATTTATTTACTTCCACTCCTGGGTTATGGGTTGGCTGTTTATGTACCTACTGTGCAGTGGTAACCAAGTTGGAATAATGGACAGGGGGAACGCAGAAGGAGACGCTCAAATGCAGCTATGCACTCAGCTATGCAAAACGTTCAGTCTCCAAGAGTTTAGTTCCCAGAATGGTAACACCTCATTCTCCTTCTTCGCGTGACCTCTAACCCCTCTGTAATTTAATACTTCATCTTCGATACTGATCCGCCATGTGACGTCTTCGGAGATGGCTCGTAGTGCTATACACCTGGAGCAAGAGAATATTATGTTTGAATTTATGAAATGCATTAGCGCTTAAGTCGTTAACACACCCAGTTGTTTTAGAGGCCTGCAGTTTTATTCCTGCAATAGCTTAGTCTTAAAAAACGGCGTTTAATTGGAAGGCCCCCCCACTGACTCATTAGCGCATCGGCATGCCAATTGCCATCTTTTTGTACACTTTAGTGTCAACCCGCCGTTGAATGGTCTACAATCAGCTTGAAAGCGCCCTTCCTTATACACCTTACTTTGGGAGCTTCATGCGCTTCCTACGGGGGCTGGTCGTAGGTGCTTTCACTCCTGGTAATTAATGGCTGGGAGAAAGGAACAAGATCTCGCACGTAATTACACTGTTTCATCAGTTGAATGATTTAACTACTAAATTATATTTCTACTCCTTAACAAACAGTGTTACCTAATGCACATTTCCAGTTTAAAATATGAATAAAGTTGTCGTACGGCTTTTGCGTGAGAGACCGGCTACAGTCTACGCAATTTAGTTTCAAAGTGAAGCAATCCTCTCTCCAGTTCTGTGCATTTAAATAAGCTTCAAAACAGCAACGCTGCTCTGAGACTGTGAACACTACAATTGGGGTTGACAGATATTCTCAAAACGTCCTCCCCGATCTGATAAGAGGATTTGTCTGTAATTATCGAATCAACTTCAGGCGGGATCGCACAGACTGGTCTGCGTAGCTCACCTCTTAAAACGTGCAAAGCATTTACATATGAGTGGGTTTACCATACACTTTGCTTTATAAAAACAATATTGTACAGGTGAATTTCGCACTGAGCATTGGACTGCAAGCCATTTCCTTTTGTTTTGAAAGATTACCTGAATAATTCATGAGCAACGTAGATTCGCTTCACCCTCTTTTCCTGCTCGGTTTTTGTGACCGACTACTTTGCAGAGGATAACAGAGTTTCAACCTCATTTACTTCCATTCCCAAAGAATGAAAATAAACTAATTTACCGCCACTGTCAGATTATACAAAACCCAAGTCCTCTTTCTGTTTATGCACCGAAACAATTGGCATTAATTTGGCCTAACGTATTCAATGAGTTTAAGTGTTCATTAACGTTCCAAAATTTATCCAAACACTGAAGGGTCTGTGTGAAAATTTCACGTATATCTGGAAAATGAATGCGTGGAAAAAAGTTGGAGGAACAAGTAGATGAATGCACTCATGCACGGATTGAAGCAGAACATGTCGGTCGCGTTGCTTAGACATTCATTCAAGTCAACCCTCAAGGGACTGCCCCCAGGCCAGGCTGGAGCTAAAGAGCTAGCAGACATAACCACCTATTCCACCGTCGTTGTGGTCGCCCTAACAGTCATGCCCATGCGTCACCCCTAGGCACGCCCGGCTCCGGGACTCTGGACGAGGTTATGAGGGTGAGGAGCGGATGGATCTTCGCAATGGGTAAATTTATGTAGTGAAATAGTTTTAACATCAGGCTTGATGGGTACAGAATAAATTTGTCAGAAATCACTCTACGCAATTGTAGCTTCTAATACACCTTTGCATTGCAACTTTCAAGCTAACTTTCGGTAGGTCAATGCCAAATTAGTTTTTTGTTTATTTAGTAGTCATGAGTAAGTTGAAAAACGCAGCATGCCCATCGCAAGTAAATTCTACATTGATTCATTCGCCTCAAACTTTGACGCCTTACTTTGAGTCGTGCAACAAAGAGCCCCTCATTTACAGCACAAATCGTACCATTCAAAAAAAGGCATTGATACTTGTCTGTCTTACTGGAGTCTGGAAGCAATGACCCTAGTCAATTTTCAGCTTACGCAGACAACATCTGAATGAACAGGTAATCCCACTCCTATTTATCTCAGCATCATGAAGTTATTCAAAAAAACTACACACGGAAGGAAAAGTAATTCCCAATGTTTGGGATTTTGAAGGTATTTATGCTTACTCAAAACCCATTATCTCCAGCCTCTGACTATCTTCAGTAATAATGATGCTTTTTTTGGATGAAGCGCTCTATTTGCTTGCAAATCATCTTTCAATTAGCTGGCAAGCATTAGATCCACGTCTTATGTGGCCTAATAAGACAGCGAGAAGAGGAAGGAGAAGAAAGCAGCGTGTACTAGGAAGTGGATTTAAGAAAGGCATATGAGACGGTTGGTAGTTACATTTGCAAATTGTTACAGAAGGTAAGGCGCGAACGCATAAGCAGGGGCTGATAAAGTTGTCAATAGTAGTGGTGCTGATGGCAGATTATCACTGTGGGAACTCTAGCAAATGACTCAAGACTTTGCGAAAATTCAAAACACAAATGTTCACAACTGTAAACCCTCTTAAGTTCACTTGAATTAGGTGCGTAGGTGAAAAAGAAGCCTTTTATAGCACCGCTAATTCGGTAATAAGTATATTTTATCAGCTAAAGTGGCAGTGTTTGCAGACATCAGAATCCTCCTATTGCCCATTGTACTATGTTATTTCTATTTTGGAAATCTTATTTGTTATTCAAGAGCTGCCATGACTAATACGGGTATCGAGTGAGTAGAGCAGAAAACATATCCACACACCACACACAGGTTACGCTTTTCATGTATACCGCTTTACAAAGTATGTAATAAAATAAAAGGATTTACAGTTTCAAGGAATGGAAAAGGATCTATCAAACGTGAGGCACTCTTGTAGATCCTCTCAATGTGAAGGTGACAGTGACTATAAGGTGTGACAATGGAGGTAACTTACGCTTGCCTTTTCAAAGTAATGGAGGTCGACACCATAGTTCCAAGTCCATTTGGCGATTAGACTGCGCCCATCCGACCATGGCGAAGTAACGAAGAAGTTATCCAACATTTGTCCACGAACACCTCGGGAACCTTGTTTCTGTGATTGGTTGCAAAATGGTGCTGCTTAAAATGCTGCATCTTCGCGAAGGGCAAAGGTGCCTGTGCTTGTGGGTTCTAAGGGAGCTCTCTGGTCTTAAGTCGCCCAAAACTTCGAATAGTAAATTTGCTCCTAAGTGATCGAGAAAGTGCGTTGCATATTGCATTATCTAGTTCCTTGTTCGCATATATACCAACTGCTTTTCGTTATGTTAATTTTTTGATGACTTTATTGTCCCGGAACAATAAAAGCTTCTCTGTTGAGTCTAATTTTTTCGTATTTCCCTGTTCAATGCAGAATTTATTTCATGTAGTTTGAACCAAGACTTTACCTGGGAATTTATTTCCACGGAACTTTAGGTTATGAAGAGTTAGACGCACATTTGCAGGGCGGATGATTTGTAAACTAATAGGAAAATTTTCATAATCCAAAAACAGTTCATAACTTTTCCAAAATATTTTCCACTTACTTCAAACAAGCTAAAAACACCGACGAAGCTTAACAACTGGCAGTGGTCATAAAAGCACGTAGGTTTGCTTAATTATACTAATTATCCCCGCTATTTATAAGTTCTATTTATTCTCCAAATTGCTATGCCAATGCTAATTATTTATAGGGCATTATGCATTGCGTGACCGTTTATACATATGCCCTTCTTGGCCGTTGCACAAATCCAACCTCCTCTGTGCAGCGTGCCCAGCATTCACGCTCAAAAGATGTCCAGTCCTCCCCAGATGATGGACGAGTAGGCAAGTGTAAAAGTGCATAAAAAATGAATTTGAAGCGCTCATCACCGAGCCATGGTCCAATCTTGTCACAAACTCTCTATTACTTCTTTATTGTGTGCTACTACTAGAATGAGGGAGTCCGTGCATTGCTGATCAGTGTGTACAGATGAGTGACAATGGGTCACGAATCACTTCTGACAGTAGACACATCATTCGCATATCACTTGTGATCGCATGCGGTCGTGAAGTCTGTGCAATCCACGCCTGAGACAAGGATTTCTCGCTCCCGCCATACGGCTCGATTAATAATAGCACATTACTATATAAACCTTGAATCGGTATATTTGCTGTAATATCTGAATTATGATCCAATGCACCAATCTAAGAAATTCAAGTAGATACATTGGAAACATGAAGTCGATTTTAAAGGGATACAAAAACCCTAGAAACGTCGTAATATATCAAAGTGGGTGATCTACAAAACAAAAGATTGTTTAATCATTTACACTTGCATTATTTTTACGCACAAGGCTTTAATGTACAGATAATTTTGAGTATTTTTACATTAAAGACTTAGATAATTCAATCTCACTCGACTGATAAAGTAGGTATCTTTTATTCATATTAAGGCTTTTTAAAGTTCCGTGTTAATTTACAGTTATTAGTTCTAGTACTTGCCATTTCCATCATCTTGGGTTTGTGTTAATGGACCCAGAGATTCTATTTGTTGCGGGTTGAGAGAGTCGTAAAGGCTGCAGGACTGTGTAAAACTATCACGTGATCAAAATGGGTTCCATCACGATTCATTTAGCGCTGTCATTCCATATTGATACGTATGGAACTAAGCTTTCAATTTCCAATCACATCATGCCGAGTGTGGAAATCAAAGCGAGTGCACTTTTAAACGATGCTTCCTTCAAGGCGAAACAAGGCAGGCTTCACTGTACAATTTAAATCTGCAATTTTTTGAACTGGTTAAGCTCAATGCTTTCTCTTCCTGTTGGCAAGCGTACGCATTCAAGCGAGCAGGAAAAGGCATGCCTACATGCTGTAAGAGGAAAGTGGAGTTGACGAAGTTGTTCCCCAATCTGTGAATTTGCAATAATTCTGGGGCATTATTGTTTCGAGTGATCCCTACTATAACTGCTGGTGCAGAGGTGCACCAATTAATTTTAGCACTTTCATTTCAGGTCCAATTTACTACGCAACCTACCAACCACAGGTTAATTGGTATGTTTTCGGCTGCACACTTACTCTACCAGTTGAGGCATCGCATTGCAAATACCGGGACAGCAGTAAGGGAATTAATTGCCTCTTCTTTTTTTTCCAATGTGTGTGTAATTTTTATGTTTCTGTTAAGTGCTTACCACAACGGATACCTTTCGACTCTCCTCTAGCCTCTTGATGATCTACGTTTGGCCTTTGCCAAACATTGGAAACTGTTGTTTTTCTTTTATTTTACTCAATCACTTTTTAACCCACTTTTAAAAGCATTTTATGCAGTGGAAAACTTGCCATTTAATTAAGTTTTATAACGTTCATCCTCTACTACTGCCTTTGCTCAGGTGGAATAAAGGATCCATCATTGTGTTTATTAAACCAAAGCCTAAGCGCACGTATGAATGCAATTCCTTCCTTCGAAGACTTTAGAAAAAGAGTCGAGGGGGGTGGATTTATTTTTGTGAAGCAAACGCATTTCAACTCATCCACTACCAGTAAATCGTTGACACAGAGGCATATGGGACTGTGTTTACGGCCCAACTTTATTATCAAATAGATAGTGGGGTTTTTGATATTGTATTCTCAAAGTGGGACTAGGTCAAAGAACTTAAAATTATATTTCCCATATCTTAGTCAAAAAGTTTAATAGATCAGCAAAACATCGAGACCTTAATGTCAAATGCCTTCATCGCCGTCCTTGACCTCCATGTCAGTCAATTCATTTCAGAGCAATTTCTTAAAGTCAGTCATTTACCCTGTTGTGCAGGTCGTAGGCCAGAGAGAATTCCATCACACAATCAGCGAAAAAATAGGAATTTCACGGTATCTAAGCCAAGTTGTTATCTGAAGAGCTATGTTATTTGCATTGTAACTTGATTATGGATGGAGTATGAAGGGGTTTTACCTCGACCATACGATCTGTTGTAATTGCTTACGCGCCCTTATTGAAAGGGAACTGAAATTCCTTCAAAAGTTTTAGTACCAGATTCTGTTTTCCTTTTGCCCGCATGCTTCGAATCAATCCCGTTGGGGCTTGCATCTTAGAGGGTTTTCTACGGTTTCTATTCTACCCTCTTTGATTACCTACGCATGGATTTATGCTATGTTGACGAAACGAGACGTCGCCTTGTAATTCGTCGGTCTCTGAGCCTTCTCAAGATAATTACTTTTACCAAGTCTTTAAATAAATTTTATTTGGGGCAAGGTCCCTCAGTAATGAAGCTTATTTTATTTTAGCCGTAATTTGTAAGAAGTCGCCGGACACTTTGATCCGTCTATCCGACTGTCTCCAATGCACGGCTTCAACAATCGCTCAAATAAGCTCTACAAGTGCCAAACTATCGTCCAGCAGCCTGCTTTCTCGTCGTCGTATGCTAAGTGCGGCTCAATTGTTCGGTTCCAGATATGAAAATACCGGTTAATGATTGACTTTAAAATCTCGCCATAATCGTCTCTAGGACTGTACAAGACACCTTTTGTTCTAAACAAAGTCTTCGGGTCTTTCAATTCTTGAAATATGCAGCAAAAATACACTCTGTTACTCTCTAAGATTTTTAGGCATAAAATTCCATTTTGGTTTCCTGGGTATATTTGATGGGGCAGTAAGCACCCTGTTAGCTATATTGTGATAAATGCACAGTCACTATTGTTAAACACGTGCTTGCAACTCCGTGGGGTGGTACGCAAATAATGCATCACTAAATTTGGGCATAAAGACAATCATTATCTACACAGGTATGTTGTCTCAACTCACACGCAATTGCGGCAGTCGATATGAGTTATTCCATAGAGGGGCTGAGGGGAAGAAAGTACCTTCGTGGATGGAGTTGAGCCTCTTCGTTCGTTCCCCGCGTGCCATGGCGTCGGCGCTTTGTGGCCGTGAGGGGAGGCACACGCACACACGTCCACGCACACACCTCCACATTCGTGTGCGTACAGTTCAATGGAGGCGACCAACGCCCTCAGCCCATTGGCCTAATCATGACAGTACGGCGGGCTGTCCAATGGGCGGGCAATGATCCGCCATCGTCCACAGCACGGCTGCTTATTTTGCGCCCAAGTGCTCGCAGAGAGAAACGCGTTTGCAGGCACACGATTTCGCCGTTTGCTTTAGACTTGGACCAAAAAATGCTGCCAGGTGGCTGATATGCACAAAACGATTAGACTACGAGACCACAGAATAGCCAAACCAAACAGGTTCCGTCTCACCATTATGGGACGATTTACCTTGTTGATTAAACACATGAGGTCGCTTCTTGTAAAGCATTCCCAAACATCCTGAAAGTAGCACGAAATATTTTAGTATACATGGGATTTTTAGGTATTTAAAAGCTAAGATGTTTTTAAGAAAATAGTTTTATGCCACAGGCATTTTAAATTCTCATGCAGAACTGAAGCCTGTATTTTTGCAGTTTTAACATGACATCAAGGATGTTCCAAAGCCCACAAATTCGATGCACTTTGTCATTTCATGCAACGTTGGTTTTCGTCGAGATACATCTCTTTAATTGGGGAGATTTGTAAGCTCCACTGCCTTGTTAATGAAAGATCGCACGTCATGTGGTATGAGAACAGTTAATCGCTGATTCGCCCTCTTCCCTCCCTTCTCCCAACCCTACTTCATTAACGCTAGGCTGGATATATTTTTCCTACTTCGAAATTTTTTCATCACCAGCGACGCTGGAAAGCTAAAAGAAGTTGGCGCTATAAAATCACTTAAATTGTGCTCAAATTTTTAGAGAAGTTTAGCATTGTAGAAAATTTGTAGGTATTTCTAGTTCTCTACATATCGTATAAAGGTGATGGAGCGAAAGTGAACTAGGATTATGCTTTTACACACTGCTCTACCAGTTGGGGTTTCGCAAGCAGAGCTAATGCATAATTTCCTCGGGACAGCGTCACTGCACCGGTTAGTTGTTGTGCTACTTCAAAACAACTATTAGTAATCTGGACTCTATGCGTTGTCGGTACGTGCAGCTAGCGGGAGAAAAAGTAGCCCTTGAATTCATTGCTAACAGTAGAAAAGTGGGTGACCACCTGTTGATCGCCCATTCTTCCATATGAGAATTGTCATATGCATATAACTAAATTAATGATAAACCTTCTCTACAATGCTCTGTCACTAATCCACGCTCACTCGTTTGATAACATGATTCGCTTTTAGTATTTTTCCGCTGGCCAAACCTACTTATCTGTCCCAACTTTGCAAACAAGATTGTCACAGATGATACAAAATCGGTTGCATTTACTTAATTCAGTCAAAGTCCTGTAGCCCAAGGATGCGATCTTTTGCATAACTTCGAAGAGCTGTTTTACAGACCAGTTTTCAGCCCGCCTTGAAAAGTAGAAAGGCTAATGAGCCTACGTAGAAATAGAGGAAGTTGCGAATCTCATGCGTTACATAGCTAAAAGAAAGAAGATAGCGTTAGTTTTTCGCTTCTATACATACAACTAATGCTTGCAATAATAAGGACGGCTTTTTCTGGAAATATAGCAAAACAATTGTAGGTTTCAGCCTACAAATCCAAGAAGTTCATTCAACATTACTGATGTTTGGTGTTCAGCTTTTTTATGGATTTTTCCTAATCTATTCTAGCGATGCGCAACAGCATAGTAAGTTGGGTGACAAGGCACTCACCTGCCAAAATTGCGGCCTACAACGCAGTGCCACGTTGGACCATAGCGTCGGTCGAACTCCTTCTTGATGTGTGAGGCAATGTCCTTCTCGATGGTGTACTTTTCTAGTGCAGCTCCGGCTAACTCAATGGCCAGGCTTTGCATCGACTCGTCCATGTCGCTATTCCGCACCACGGCCCTCTCGCCAGCCACATTTCGCGACATTATGGCCGTCTACCTTCTCTTCTACCTGTCTCACACATTGTTATATGTATATATATATATGTGCCTATGTACGCAACAGTAGCCTGGCCTCGTTGCCTCCTACATATTGTTGTCCATTTGCAAATGAGATGCGGAATAGATTATCATATCTGCCATCAAGACACAGCGTGACAATGTTTCCCGATGGTCGGTAAGACCCCGAAGCTTGTAGCAAATTTATTCATTTAGTTTTTAAACAGTTCCAAAGGAACTGCAAAATAACAAGTCAAGGTATTAATAATTTTGTCAATTTGATTTCTTAAAGGAAATTAGTTGTTCATTTTTCTTAACTCCAAAATGATACATCATCAAAATTCTGAAATGGCGTAATTTCATTTTGTAACTTTTAGCTTTGTTCAAGAAATTTCAATCTGCATTGAATGAGTTAAAGTAGACCTTCCAAAGTGGCGTAGTAATGAAATGATATGAGTAGTTCGGTAAAGTCCCCGTAAATTGGGAATTTTCTAAACATAACAGCTTATGCTACCCTCTGGCAATTGCATTCAAAGTAAGAAGTATAGATACAAATGTGACTCTAACAAGAAAGTTGTAGGCAAGGTACTGTACCCTCTCCGTTATTAACTTTAAGCTCTCCAGTCCTGTTTCATGAACTCAACTTCTTTATGAAAACTGTTAAATTACTGAATTGTGGAGCGAGACTCCTCGGTCTCCGCTTCCCGATTCCTAGCGTTCCTAGACAAGCCCGGTTGGTTTGCTTTGGACATCTTTAGTAAAGACGACAAGATGTATAGGGAAAATACAATATTCAAGAAGGAGGGGAGCCGCAGACACTAGGTAAGGGAGAGGGCGATCCAGTTACAAGGTTCGAATTTCCTGCTTGCCTCCTCCCTGAAAGCCCATTCAAACAACATAAGTATTACAGAATACTTATAAAAGATAGGTAGACGAAGGCGGTTATAGATGTCTCATACAAAGCCTCAAGTACACAACTTTTGCATGCGATTTCGGAACTTCTCATCAGGCTCTAATTTCAATAAATTTTGTTGCAGCTGCTCCTCCATTCTCAAGATTTTCTTTAAAGAAATTGTTTGTTGTAGTACCTTTGTAAGGATTTTGTTTTCGGGAGTACATTGTGAAAATAAAGATGCAAACAGAATTCTGTTCGGTAGGTAGTGTCATATTCTGGTATATATATCAACACAACTGTCGTCGAAACTCATATGATTACTTTTTTTGCAAATAGGGCGCTGTCTCTTGTCGTTGGCGCATAGAACCTATTCGTCATAGTTCTTACTACCGAAAGCACGAGTGGCACAAATCACTGGTTATAGGTTGTAAGTGAGACTTTAGGGCACCGCTAGGCGAACGACGAATGTGCAGAGTCGGCTGCTAAAGCATCGGTAGAGTTGAATAAAAGCTTTCGACTTATTTGTCAAATATAGTCCTATTTTGCTGCGGGGGCTTTTACGTGGTCTCCCAAAGTTTATTATTACTACAAAATATGCCTATCTTTATTCATTTACGGCTAAATATGTCGTTTTTCTGGTTGAATTATGTAAAACTTTGATGCTTTGCACTTTGCTAAAATTTCGTCAAGCTGCTGTGAAGTACCGGCAATATGAGTTGGCATTAGCTAAGGTTTGGTCTCAAATTGCTGGGGTGACTGCGTGACTGTGGATTGTTGGAATGAAAGTTCACGCATTGTGCATTTAGTGAAGCATTAAGAGGTGGAAGTTCTACCTGGTGACAAATTTCGTGTGCTTTAAAACATTATTCGCTACACGTAGTGGAGGTAACAGCATGAAACATTTTCAAATCGAATTCAAATTTTTTGACGCAAGAAAGTAACGGGAAAATTTATTAAGCCATTGGTTTAATTTTAATGGATTTAAGGGCCTTGGATCAGCAACTAAACTCTCAATTCTGGCGCATTTGCAAATTACATCACTTGCTCTGTAATGTCTTGTGATCACTTCAGGTGGACTGGGGTACATGACGATTAGACATTTCTGTGGAACAATTACTTGGAAGATAATCTCCAAAATCAGCGTAAGTATTGGTACGGACATTGTACAAGAGCTCCGCTATCTGCGAAACAAAGGCGACTATCACAACCTTATCTCCTCGCCAGCGAAAATGATTCGCCGCTGCAAACATTAGACGGTTCGCATTCGAGGCTCACAGGGCTGCAGTCACGCGCAGGGTGTGCTAGGTTTCTTAAAGAAAAGTGGCCATTTTCGCGAAGCCTTGATGTGCAGTCCGTAAGACACTGATCAACACTAGCATGCACCGTTTAGTGGCACTTGTCGCATAGGACTTTCAATTAGAAGTCGCATCGCCACTTGTTATCTAGCTCATTCATGTAGTGAAATAGAGTCTAGAAAATGGGTCCGTCATAGGTTCTTTTCAGCACGCATTAACATTTACCGCTTCATATTACGGAACAAGTCGCTCTAACTCAAAATATTACCTGAGAATACACGTTCAGTCCTATTTTTCGTATCAGATAATCAAAGGAAAGATTAATGTATGCATTATTAAACCAAAAATGTCTTGAAAATACAAATGTAGTAACCTGATTGACTATTAAATACCTAAGGAAAGCCGTGATGAATGGGAAAGCGAATGATAGAATCAATTTGCTTCTACATAGCAATCAAAAACAGAAAGCCATTTTTTTAATCGCGGTCTCTTCAGTCTTGAGGCCTGCATTTTCGTTCTGGCGATAATGTCGGAATGCTAAGCCAATAGTTTCTTATTTTTTCCATAGTACTTGCAGCTTTGGGACTGTCTTGGCTGTTGCAAGAGAATTTGATGTGCAAGAACAATAGTCTCAAATACTGTGAGTGTCCTAACTTCTGGAAACTTACAGCAGAAAAGTCATGGAAGCCAGGGCCATTTTGACAACTGACTCAATTGCTTGCTCTGTAAGAGGCCGAATAAAAACAGACTCGATTTCCACCAAGGCTACCTCCTAGGCACTCACGCAGAGCTGAGCCCAGCAAGTAAAATAACACGGATTAAATACTTGGTGGCACTAAGACGAATTGCTACGGAGGGTAGTTGGACAGCTTCAGCTACGTGAAGCTGGCTCAAATATCGCCCATCATTAAATAGCTGATTTCGGGTGGATATCCTTACTAATAGCAATTGACATACGAAGTACATGTGGAGTTACTTGGAAGCCTTTTGGGACGGAACTATCGTATCAGTTATGTTAGGACCGTGGACATTCTACACTAGGAAGCTTCGCAAAATCGAGTCAGATATACTGTAGGGCTGCTAGGTTTGTGAAACATCCTTTTCAAGAATTATAGTGAAGACGGGTATTTGCATGGGTTATTAACTTCATTTTTGCCCTCACCTCACAGTAACCACGAGGTGCGACAGCATGTGTGTTGTGCTAACTG